TTTTCCTTCAATTCGGGAAAATAGGAATTTCCCTTACCGCCGAAAACTAAGAAAACCAGCTCATGTTTCTTTCTTTGATCTACATGTAGGTCTACTTCTGTTTAAGCGTCTTTTGATGAATGAATATTGAGCAAACGGTGCCATACATTTTTATAGATTTTTACATATAATAGTACACGTGTAACAGGACGATAGCTCTGGTTTGATATTGGATTATTCTCATGCAAATGTCTGCAAAAATATTATATAAAAATCAATTTTAAACAATGACATGAACAAAATTTTTAAAAAGTAAGCCGAAAGACAAAGAAGACAGAAGAAAGAGCAAGAAAAATATAAGAATGCCAAGAACACTATAAATAAGTAAATATATAAATTTAGAAATATGAAATTTAAACCGTAGATTGATCCTTGCTTTGATCTACCGTGTTTAATTACACTCACCTGCAATAGTACTAGAACAATTATTTCAACTATCCCAGCCTGCAACATCCGCCTGACTTTCAGGTGCAAGCACGCAGTCTTCAAATCCGTGACATCCATGGAGGCAAATGAACATCCATCCATTACAACAAACACATCATATTAGGAGATCAAACTTTACACATGTAATAGTATAACATAAGCACATTGCTTTACACTTCCTCTGCCAAGCCCATAACAGATACCATTAGCAAAATATCAGGTCTGCTAAAATTTGCTGCAATATAGCTGCACATTAGCAGCAACAAAATATTTTTGCAAACTTTTAATACATTCACCTGGACTCTAATGTAAAGTAGTTTACGGTTCGTGTGTCCGATTGGGGTGCAGTTCTCACACAGGAGGATTTTATACGGAGAAAGACATAAACCATATGCAGGGCCAATCGATGTCAAGGTTTCTGTACCCTAAAGTTGCTTAACCACGCGTCTGGGTGACCATTGCGTTCATAAAATACCAACACTGTTCTACAATCCTATGAACATTACCTTGGTTTTGAATGTAAATTCTTATAGCGGTGGTATATGAAAACGTTCAAGTTAGACGCCTCTTGTTTGTAGCATTATGTAGAACTTGTCAAGCTCAACGCTGTGTCGCTTTTTTTCATATGGTTTAGGAGTTGCACTATTTCAAATGGCGAAAAGAAAATTTTAAAATGAAATCTGAAATACTCCAAGATGGCTGAGGTACACTCATATTACTATTAAACATAAATATGACAAATGTGACCTTGAACTTGGCCTTTGATCTACTTTCACACTTAAACTGGACTTTGCAAATATTTCAGCCGTGCCTTCTTCAGAACTAGCAGAGATAAACCCATATTTACCATTGCATATAAATAAATAGGAAATCATATATTGCATTCCTTAATGTAACCTTGAATTTGACCTTTCAGTTTCACATGCATGTACTGTACTTTCAACCTGAAATGCAGTTTGCCAATTTTATAGTTCTTATATCTCCAAAACTCGCAGATGTACTCTTATAGTCACTTCTGAACTTGATTAGGAAGCCGTGTTTTCAGAATCTTAATGTGACCTTGAGATTGACCTTTGACCAATTTTGGAGGTTTATCCCGCTCTGATCCTCTAGTTTATACCTGGCGTCACTACCCTTATTGCTTTAATCGTAGCTGCGACACTTTACTGCACGTGGTGTTCTATCAGCATGACCTGGATATGTACATTCTGGTACAAATACAACCACCAGATTAAGAGTGATGTACCAATTCAGCAACGCCATTCAGCAAACTTCGTCTATATGTAAATGTACTTATTATGCTCAACCTGTCTTTGCAGGCGACACATCTAACTGGGACTCAAGTTGACTTGAATATTCTTAAAACTATTATCTTTCGTTGACGAACTGAGACGGTTTATTAACTAGACGTTCCAAACTACCAGAATGCTCTCTATTGGCACCAAGTTCCTGGTGGTGAGCCAGGTTTTTACAGTGGTGACATTGCACCAAGTCATCAACTTGTACCAAAACTGGAAGGACACGAGTGCTTGGCAGGCTGTTTTCAGGGGTAGGCCTTCTAGTAGCGTGTACATGTGCTAGTAAAACGTGTCCACATTGCTTTACGTTACCCTCTTCCAAGGCCACATGCTTATTTATACCCAGTATTTATATATATTCCTCTGGCCAATTTAATATTTTATTTCACGCTTTAATTATTTACGCTGTACAGAGAATTGTTTCTCCTTTGGCTTATAAATAACATCTCATCATGCGTTCACCTGACCTCTTATAGAGAGTAGCTTTACGTTACGTTTGTCGGATTGGGATTTTAAACTCACTTAAGCATGTAGAGGAGGAGGTAAGATGGAGAAATGCAAACCCAGGGTCAATTGGTGTCCCGGTTACTGAACCCTGAAGTCGCTTTATTAAGCGTCTGACGTTATTCAGTGAGGGGGTTCCATATCAAACCAACACTGTACTGCACATTCATGGCGGTACCCGCACCAAAACGCAGTAGATACATATATGCAAAGATGCCGTATTGTTTGCAGAGCACATGTACCTTGGTTTTGAACTTAAGTTTAAATGGTAGTGGTAAACATGCATGTGTCCCGTAAGCGGTGCATATCACGTGCTGTAATAATTAAAAAAAGATTCAAGGAAACTGCTTGAGGTAATCCTAAAACAATGTTTATTTCATGCCCAATGGTCGTCGGCTTACTATAACCTACAAAGACATATTTGAATTTCATATTTCTAAAAACCCGGTAGTGTTATGCAATTTATCTTCATTCTGTGTTGTACAATTTACCTTCAAATCAAATCTAAATCAATGAAAAACACTCTTCACAGTAAAACACAGATGATAAATATACATACTTTTAAAATTTGGCAGAAAGGGGAGACCTACTGATGTCTTTTAAACAGTGAAAATACTGGTAGTTTGTCACCTGTACAATTTCAAATAATAGTTGTGGTTGTAAAAACCGATGTGACCGTTATCAGTTATGTTGAACCTTTTAATTCGCCAAACTATTGACATGAATAATTTCAAATTTATAAAGCATTGATATCACGGCTGCCTGATACACCAGAGGTAGTCTTGTTCAAGACAGTCCCAGGTCTAATTAACCGTTACAACATGTACACTGAAACCTTCCTACTTGGGCATGGCATGTTGGCTGATAAGACACGCCTAATAGATTTTTAGCAAGCAGGAAACCGTATGATCTACAGGGGGTAATATACTGCTCACCGTCCATATTACCTCAAACATTCTGATCTTTTAGATTTAATCATTAAATTTCACTTTTATCACTACATGAATAAATCTTTTTAATTTTCCTTTTTATTCTTTGTAAGGACTAGTGGTATTCTTCACGGGTTCCGGAGGTCTTGTCACCTATTACATATACAGGAAACGACCCGCTAAAAGCCACACGTGGAGGACGGTGTTACTACAGTACACTCTTACACAAATCTTCCGAATTATTGTGTATTTTTCTCTCAGAAATTTCGAGACAGCAAGCAAAAACGTCAGCAAGATGCAAGAAGATGCGTTAATGTTTTACATTCGCACGCTGGAAAATTCGGAGTTTGGCAAGAAGCACAATTATTCTCAGATGCGGACGAGGGAAGATTTTTTGAAACTGCACCCAGTTTTGTCTTACGCCGACCTTAAACCTTACATTGACAAAACTGTAGCTGGCGATAAAAAACCAATCAAATGTTAAAAAAGCTTCTGTTTACTACTTTAAGCTTTAAGAAAGCTGGGCTATGGGATAACCTAAAACGCTAGATATCACGAGGTCAGAATAGGAGTCAAGAAAAAACTTTACTGACAGTGGCTTAAGAACTGGACCATAAGCCGGGATGTATGCTTTCTTTCCTAGTTATTTGGTTTCACCACGTGTGGTGTATGACGTCACTACCGAAAACGAGGTCCATTATTTACATGTTCTCTTCGCCCTAAAAGATCCTGATATTGGGGCTTTCGACTTCTCTTTACCTTCTGTTGCTACCCGGTTTTGTCAAACTTTGGAACATCAGTGGCCACAGCTATGTGACGATATAGAACATGGTACCCTGAACACCAATTTGGCCATACCCAATGACATCAGGGGAAAGTTGCAGACCGATATGAGGGCGGATCCCCAAAGAGCTGTTGAAGTTCGACGGATCATAAGGCAGGGCTTTGACGGAATTGTGCGCCGTCTATGGCCGGAATGTAACGCAGCTATTATGTTGAGTTCGGGTTCTCTTCTTCCTGAGGCCGAAGGATTGAAGAAGCATTATATGAAAGATGTTTCATTTTATAATCACCTCCATGCAGCTACGGAGGGGTTTTTCGGTTTTTGTAACGCTGCCGACAACGGCCAAACGCGATTCATTATATTTTCTTCAGTTTGATATTTTCTTTATAACACACGCTTGATTCTTTAACTGTTTTAATTCTCTTTTTTGTATTCATTGTGTATAAGTTTTTTATCCCCCAATCAGGTACATATTGGACAGTGTTATGAACTAGTTATAACAACTGCGGTTGCCATGCTTTACAGACAAGGTGACGTGGTGAAGATAGTGGATTTTCACAACCAGGTTCCAGTATACGAGTTCCAATATACCTGTAGGTAACTCCTACTTATTAGTTAACATCCACAAAAAAGTAATGTGTATTTCATGGAACTGTAGAACATACAATAATTTGTCACCTGTAATTTGTCACCTGTACAATTTCAAATAATAGTTGTGGTTTTATAAACTGATGTGACCGTTATCAGTTGTGTTGAACTTTTTAGTTCGCCAAACTACCTGTATTGACATGAATAATTTCAAATTTGTAAAACATTGATATCACGGCTGTCTTTTATTAGATACCAATTTAGGTTGTAACTAAACTGACAAAAACTTTGATTGTCGGGATAGAACCATCAACCAGTGGAAATTAAGTGAAGAAATATTTAAGTTAAATCCGTCTTAATGTCGCTATTATGTTTTATTTCAGACTGGGGCAGATGTTTACTTAGAAATAATGACCGAGGGGGCCTTTGTCCACGCACTCCGAGGAGCAGCCAAGCGCATCGATGTTAACATAGTTGAATATACTGCGACGGAGAACGTCAACTTTGAAGCTATCGCTGGTAAGTTAATCCATGACAGATCTTGCATCTTTTGGTTTGCTTTAATTATGGATATAGATGAAAGATATAATCTAATGTCACAACCTACTGCACATAACAATATAATACGTTTTTTTTTTCAGAAGCTCTACAAAATGGACGACACTACGTATTGTTTATGGAGTTGTCAGAAAACTCGAACAAGGACCAAGCGAGAATGACTTCACAACAGAAACAGATGGCAAGGGCTTTTGTATTATTTCTTTGTTTTGCATACTTTTTTCAAGTGGCAAGTACTAGTAGGAAATTTAACAAGTTTTCAGATGTGTGCTGTTTGTTATTAGGATAAAGTGAAAACTATGCACACTTACTTTGTAAACAGTTTCTGATGAAAATGTATTCAAAGTGAAAAAAACATTCTCACAGGGGTATGCTTTACTGTGCTGGCAATGTTGAAATCCACTGCATTTAGAGTTAATACAAGAGATTTCACTATAGATTTATCTGTATATGTTTTAGTTTGAAGACGTTTTGTATGAAGAACACGAAGTTTACAGGATGTTGAGAGATAATGGAAGTATTCTCCCCATGAAAGTTATCCATGTGAAGACCGGTGCGTTCAATGTCTTGAAGGACGCCGTAGTGGAAAGCAACCCTCGTACAAGTCGATTACAGTACAAGACACCGCGCGTGCTGAGGGCACCTGATCGTCTGCGCGTTCTGTGGAACTCCCGCCTGTCTTGATGGGTGGGACGCAGCCTTTAGTTTAGTTTTCTGGTTTTTGACCAGGTTTTGGCCAATAACACTGCCAATTGGTTATTGATTTATCAAGTGCTTTTACCATGAAACTGCAGCTTTCGTTTTTATAGATAGATAGTTGTTGTTGTTCTGGTTGTGTCTGTAGTTAGGCTGTCATTTGAAATATCATTATTACCATGATGGTTGGGATACAGCCTCTAGTTTAGTTTTCTTGGTATTGACCGAGAAGACTGCCAACTGGTTTATTGATATATCAAGTGCTTATGTCATGTAACTGCAGCTTTCGTTTATATACCCCTGTAGATAGATACTTGTTGTTGTTGTTGCTGTAGTTGGGCTGTCATTTGAGATATTATCTTTATTACCATCTTTATCACCACTTAAACGTATTATTAATTAAAAAGTAATTACTTTTATACAATTATATCACATTGAACACAATAACAAAAAGGAGTTAACATAATAATTTTTCCGCTCTTTTAATAAAACTTGCGTGAATGAATGGTGGTAGAACGTACAACAATGACTTGCTGTCGAGAATATCCCTATTATATTTTTATTGTTTAAATGCGGCCAAGGATTGCTCTCTGCTTTTCCTTCAATTCGGGAAAATCAAATTTCCCTTACCGCCGAACACTTAGAAAACCAGCTTTCATGAACTGAGGTAACTTTGTGCAACAAATTGATGTGCACTTGTGTTAAAATTACTCCAACACTTTTTGGCTTTTCATACAGTCTGGCGAAGTGTGTGAAAATGAATGGGGGTATACACTATGGGGACAAAGGGACCAGGCAACTGTGAACTTATTTTTTTTTAAATTTTTAATATATATTCGGCTTGTCTGTAAGCTGGCTTATAGAAATGTAGACCTTACGTACAGGGAAGCAGTGTTATGCAGTACAACTATTATGTGGAGGTTGATTTATTGAACCATAAAGAAATAGTGCCTTTGTTACAAAATTGTAAAGCGATGTTGTATAGACAGATTAATTCTAATCTTACCGTCTGAGATATTTATACAGACATAAATGTTAAGGAATTTGAAAGATTGCTGCAGTTCAATGTTACTCCTGTATATGTCCTTATTGACTAGGCATAACAGAACCACTCACATGGATAAAAATTGACAGTACAGGTTTCTTTTTTATTTTATTTTATTTTATTTTATTTTATTTTATTTATTTATTTATTTATTTATTTATTTATTATTTTATTGCCAATACAATTGTATACTCAGTGCATTGAACTACGGTGTACATGTATATGGAAAGATGTCTATCTCGGATTTTTAAAAAAAGCACATGGAAACACTCTTGTTATCTGCTAAATATGTATTATAGGAGAAGCAAGGTTGCACACACTGTTGTACACTTCTTGTCCATCAGATGTATATATTATACGGCAGGGGTGGATCTAGGATTATTGTAAGGGGGTCCGGGAAACGACCGTTTCTATCTAGTATATTTCCAATCCGTTTAGCCCCTTAATACACTAGACGCACATTTGGAAAAATTCTGTGTACTGTCCCACAGTCAGTTCAATTAAAAATTCACAAGCTCCCCGCACCGATTTTTGGACTGTTCACATGGTTGCACACCCACTCTGTCGCGTTTGTGAAATAAAGGATACAAAACTGAATAGGTTGTCGAGAATTTCTTCACGCCTATATCTGCCTGTCATTGGACAAATGGACGTGGGACCCGCAGGGGAAAGCGTTGCTGCGTTATCCAGCCTAATGCTTGTTTGTGTGACAATTTATGGGTTAGTTGCGAAGTAAAAACAACAACGTCTTAATATTCTTTCACTTTATTCATTTACAATTTTCCACATAAGTCTCGTAGAGGAAAGCGTAATTTTGTTGTCCAGATTGATGCATGTTTGTAATGGGGTTGAGCTCATCTTTATAAAAATAGTTCTTGATGTCTGGTTCATAACGGCTATGAAAATGAATCAACGATGTATATCTAAAATAGCATCATCCAGTAAGGTCAAATAAAACACTTTTTCAAAGTCAGTTTTTAAGCTAGATTGGATATTTTCATTTAGATATTCAAAATATTTGATACAAGTATTAGATACACAAGGCAGCAAAGTTGTCAAATGTACAGAAAAAAGCAGAAAATAATTATGCACAAAATAGGCTCTGTCAATTCTGATGCATTAATACATTATGCTTAACTGCAAAGTCAACATCTTATTTTACTCCATCACAACAGGTAGTACCGATGTAAGTAAAATGTGTACCAACATAAGTGTTCAGGCTCAAGAGGTCTTCACGCCCATGGAGGTTTAAAGCCACACCTTGAAAACGCCAGTATGTAAAAAATTAATTTTCACACAAAGGCATAGGTCTTCAAGCCAATGGAAGTGACATGGAAGTGACACCACACCTTGAAAACGCCAAAATGTAAACAAGAGATAGCTGTACTGAAATGAGTTTATTTCCATTTTCAATACTTCTTTTTTACGTAAAACAAATTGACAAATTTACTGTCATTTTTATACGACAACCAAAAATTATTATTTGTTTGTCAAGACCCCCCCCCCCCCCCGCCCCGACAATTCTTCTATGTGACCTAGAGATTGGCCTTTGACCTACTGTTCCTCTGGTTTATACCTGTCGTCACTATGTTTATTGATTAAATCGTGGAAGCGGCACTTTCTTGAACGTGGCATTCTATCAGCATGATCTGGATATGCACGTACACACGATTTCAAACACACCCACCAGATTAAGAGTGATGTACCAATTCAGCAACGCCATTCAGCAAACTTCGTCTACATGTGAATGTACTTATTATGCTCAACCTGTGCTGCAGGCAAGGCATCGAACAGGGAGTTAAGTTGACTTGGATATTCTTAAAGCTATTATCTTTCGGTGAAGAACATAGACGGTTAATTAACTAGACAGGCGTTCCAAACTACCAAAATGCTCTCTATAGGTACCAAGTTCCTGGTGATGAGCCAGGTTTTTACAGCGGTAACTTTGTACCAAGTCATCAACTTGTTCCATAACTGGAAGGACACGAGTGCCTGGCAGACTGCTTTCAGGGGTAGGCCAGCTATATTACTTATATAACACGTATCCACATTGCTTTATGTTACTCTCTTCCAAATTCCAAGACCACAGGTTGATTTTTACCGAGTATTTACAGATATTCGTGTGGCACTCTATATATTTTATTTTATTTTAATAAAATTCGTATGCAGGGTCAATCGATGTCCCAGTTACTGAACTCAAAAGTCGCTTTATCAAGCGTCTGACCTTATTCAGCGAGCAGGGTCCATATCAAACCAACACTGTACTACACATTCATGGCAATATGCAAAGAGGGCGTACCATTTGCAGAGCACATGTACCTTGGTTTTGAACTAAGTTTGAATGGTGGGGGTATACATGCATGTGTCCCGTAAACGTTGCATATCACGCACTGCAATAATTCAAAAAGAAGAGGAAACTGCTTGCGGTTATCCTAAAACAATGTTTATTCCATGCCCAATGATTTGCGGCTTAATATAATCTTCAAAGGCATTGAATTTCATATGTCTATAACACGGTAGTGTTATGCAATTTACCTTCAATCTGTGTTGTACAGTTTTCTTCACTCTTAGATTCAAATTTGAATCAGGGGGAAAATTCTCTTCAGAGTAATAAACGTAGATGACAAATATACACCCTTTGGAATTTGACAGAAAGGGTAGACCTATTGATGCCTCCCAAATAGTGAAAAAACTAATAGTTTGGTTTTGCTATTGCCATCTGGCTCTTTTGCTTCCTCCCACCAAACAAAGACACCAGAGACTGGTTCAAGACAGTCCCAGATCAGAGCGTCATGTACACTGTAACCTTCCTACCAGGAGAATATATTTTCATGCTTAAGGCAACTTTTAATTACAAACGTGTTCTTAGTACTGAGTTTTTTGTTATCTTGTTTTCGAGTCGAACAGAAATACAATAGATATTCAGGTAATATCGCAAAGATAAAATAACATTTAGCCCATATAGGTATAATCTCCTAAGCATGATGGCTGATAAGAAACGCCTTATATATTTATGGTAAGCGGGAATTCGTATGAACTTATATACTGATCACCGCCCATATTACCTAAACACATTCTGATCTTTTAAATTTGATCCTTAAATTTCACTTTTATCACTATATGAATTAATCAACTTTTTAATTTCCCTTTTTGTTTTTTGTTAGGGCTAGTGGTATTCTTCACGGGTGCCGGAGGTCTTGTCACCTATGACATATACAGGAAACGACCCGCTAAAAGCCACACGTGGAGGACGGTGTTACTACAGTACACTCTTACACAAATGTTCCGAGTGTTTGGGTATTTTTCTCTTAGGAATTTCCAGACAGTAAGCAAGAACATCAGCAAAATGCAAGAAGATGCATTAATGTTTTACATTCGCACGCTGGAAAATACGGAGTTTGGCAAGAACACAATTATTCTCAGATGCGGACGAGGGAAGATTTTTTGAAACTGCACCCAGTTTTGTCCTATGCCGACCTAAAACCTTACATTGACAAAACTGTAGCTGGCGATAAAAACCAAATCACCCCATTTGACCCGTTTTACGTCGCCTTCAGGGACAACCGGTAAAAACAAAGCGTTCGTATATACAAAGGAAATGTTTGCCAAACCATCAAAGATGTTTAAAGCTCTTCTCTTTAGGACTTTAAGATTTAAGAGAGCTGGATTATGGGATGTCCTGAAACGCTATCACGAGGTCAGAATAGGAGTCAAGACAATTTACTGACAGTGGCATAAGAACTGGTCCTATAGCCGGGATGTATAAATTCTTTCCAAGTTATTTGGTTTCACCAAGTGTCGTGTATGACGTCACTACCGAAAACGAGGCCCATTATTTACATGTACTCTTCGCACTAAAAGATCCTGGTATTGGGACTTTTAACTTCTCTTTCCCGTCTGTTGCTACCCGGTTTTGTCAAACTTTGGAACACCAGTGGCCACAGCTATGTGACGATATAGAACACGGTACCCTGAATACAGACTTAGGCATACCGAAAGATATCAGAGAAAAGTTGCAGACCGATATGAGGGCGGATCCCCAAAGAGCTGTTGAAGTTCGAGGGATCATAAGGCAGGGCTTTGATGGAATTGTGCGCCGTTTATGGCCGGAATGTAACGCAGCTCTCAGGTTGAGTTCGGGTTCTCTTCTTCCTGAGGCCGAAGTATTGAAGAAGCATTATCTGAGAGATGTTCCGTTTTGTAATCCCGTAGATGCCGCTACTGAGGGGGTTTTCGGGTTTTGTGACCCTGACGACAACAGCCACACGCGGTTCATTATGACGGCTTCCTTTAATCACTTTGACTTCATCCCTGTGGAGGAAACAGATAAACCCTCTCCCGGTGTGGTACCCATTGAGGAGGTAAGCACAATTAACAGTAGCTCTAAGACTGCATTCCCATAGATTTAGGTCGATCCATCTAGATCGACCTAACTCCCTGGGGGTTCATGCTAAATTGATGTCAGCCGAGCGCTCACGGTAGTTAACTACCCCCTTACATCTTTTAGCAGGCGGGACAGACGCTTAAGCTGACTGTAATCTAATGAATCTCCCACAGGGGTAGATCGATCAAAAATCTGTGGGAATGGGGTCTTAGGAGGCAATTGCGCACTGGCCTCTCCTCAGGTTTTCCTAATTCTTTTCACTGAAAAAAAAAAGGTATAGGGGCAACTCCATATGATGTTCCCTAAAAAATAAATTTTACTGGGTTCCCAAATCTTGCCAAAATCTCATATTTACTGGAAAAATAATATTTAGCCTATATAATTGATACTTTCTTTATAATACATTGATTCTTTATCTGTTTTAATTGTCTTATTTTTATGCATTGTGTAATATGTTTTTATCCACCAACCAGGTACAGATAGGACAGTGTTATGAACTGGTTATAACAACCGCGGTTGCCGTGCGTTACAGACAAGGTGACGTGGTGAAGATAGTGTATTTTTACAACCAGGTTCCAGTATATGAGTTCGAATATAGGTAATTCCAACTGATCAGTTTACATCCACAAAAAAGCAGTTAGTATTCCATGAAACTGTAGAACATAATTTGTCACCTGTACAATTTCTAATGATGGTTGTGTTTTTATAAACTGATGTGACCATTATCAGTTGTGTTGAAACTTTTTTATTCACCTAATTATTGAAGTTTTATTGAAGTATTAAAATACTTTCATATTCCTAAGACATAGCACGGTCACTTTTATTATATGACTAAACTAAACTGACTGGAGGCCCCTTCAGATTTTATTACAAAAACTACTTAACAACACCCAATCGTCAAACTTTGATCGTTGGAAGGGGTTTTTAAACCAATGACAATTAAGTTTGGAAACATTTTAGTTAAATCCGTTTTAATGTAGCTATTATGTTTTATTTCAGGCTGGGACAAATGTTGAATCTTTTCTGGGAAAAGATGACCGAGGGGGCCTTTGTTCACGCACTCCGAGGAGCAGCAAAGCGCAATGATGTTGACGTAGTTGAATATACTGCGACGGAGAACGTCAACTTTGAAGCTATCGCTGGTAAGATTATCCATAGCAGATCTTTCATCTTCTGGTTTACGTTCATTATGGATGTAGATTGAAGATATAGTTCCATGTTACTTTCCCTTGCGCATAGTAACGTTATACATTTTTTCAGAGCCTCTACAAAATGGACGGCACTACGTATTGTTTATGGAGTTGTCAGAAAACTCAGACAAGGAACAAAGGAGAATGACTTCACAGCAGAAACAGATGGCAAGGGCTTTTGTATTATTTCTTCGTTTTGTACACTTTATACACGTATAAATGTTAGTGGGAAATATTACAAGTTATCAGATGCGCGATGTTTGATATTAGGATAAAATGAAAAATATGCCTTCTTTCTTTCTAAGCAGTTTCTGAAAAATTGTCTTTAAAGTGAAAAACCATTCGTACAAGGGTAGGCCTTACTGTGCTGGCAATGTTAAAAGTCACTGCATTTAGCGTCAATACAGTCGATACCACTATAGTTTTATCTTAATATGTTTTAGTTTGAAGACGTTTTGTACGAAGAACACGAAGTTTACAAGATGCTGAGAGATAATGGAAGTATTCTCCCCATGAAAGTTATCCAGGTGAAGACCGGTGCGTTCAATGCCTTGAAGAACGCCGTAGTGGAAAGCAACCCTCTTACAAGTCGATTACAGTACAAGACACCGCGCGTGCTGAGGGCAACTGATCGTCTGCGCGTTCTATGGAACTCTCGCTTGTCGTGATGGGTGGGATACACCCTTTAGTTTAGTTTTCTTGGTTTTGACCAATAACACTGCCAACTGGTTTATTGATTTATCAAGTGCTTATTCCATGTCTTTTCAGCTTATTCCATGTTATTTGCAGATAGATAGATAGAGAGATAGATACTTGTTGTTGTTGTTGCGGTTGTTGCTGTAGTTTAATTTTCTGAATATTGATCGAGAACACTGCCAACTGTTTTTTTTTTTTTTTTTTTTTTTTTTTTTTAATTTATTTATCAAGTGCTTATTCCTTGTTATTGCAGCTTTCGTTTATATAGATAGATACTTGTTGTTGTTGTTGCTGTAGTTGGGCTGTCATTTGAGATATTATCATTATTACCATCATTATCACCCCCTGTACTTATTAATTATCAATTAATTTTATACAATAATATCACATTGAACACAATAATTAAACATACTAAGTTTGAATTAAAACAACTATGATGAATAGATGATTACATTTTGAAACAGTGTACAAATAACCTTAATTTCTACTTTTATATGTACATGTGTGTAAAAAATTAATATACTGCATAATAATAATAATAATTATTATTATTATTTTTTATTATTATTTAATATGTATTATTATTATTATTATTTATACTATCATAATTACCATCATTATCACCATCTATACTTATTAATAATCAATTAATTCTTTACAATAATATTACATTGAACACAATACTTGATCATACTAATTTTGAATTAAAACAAATATAATGAATAGATGATTACATTTTGAAACAGTATACAAATAACCTTAATTACTACTTTTATATCTACATATACGTGAGAAATTAATATACTGCATCCTCGGCAACTGTTATGTCAGAATGTTTTCCACTATTTTAATAAAACGTGCGTGAATGAATGGTGGTAGAACGTACAGCAATGACTTGCCGTCGAGAGAATCCCTATTATATTTTTATTGTTTAAATACGGCCAAGGACTGCTCTCTGCTTTTCCTTTAATTCGGGAAAATTAAATTTCCCTTACCACCGAAAACTTAGAAAACCAGCTCGTGTTCCTTTTTTATCTACATGTAGGTCTGCTCCTGTCCGAGCTTCTTTTGATGAATGAATATTGAGCAAGCGGTGCCATGTATTTTCATAGTCATTGTAGCCTCTTTCGCAGATGTATATCATTATTGCTTGAAAGCAAAAACCAGCTCCATGCATCTGTGGATGTTGTGTAATTATTAATAAACGATTCGATTTCATATTGTTGATTTTATTTATTTTATATCTTAGCAAGTTGATTGAAGACACACATATATATATATAAAGGAATATGTGAATTGTGCATGCGGGGAGGTGAACATTTTTAAGGAGTAGTAGCTCAGGCCCGTAGCCAGGGGGGGTCGGGGGTTCGAAAGAACCGCCCCTTTTGCTGGGAAAAGGTCCACTCTTGGTAAAATTTGATGTAGGTACAAGGAATTTTTATGGGAAAAGGTCCGCTTTTTTCAGAAAAAGAACCCCACTTTGGAAATTGCTGGCTACGGGCATGTAGATACTTCTTAGGGTGCAGATATGCGTGGGACGCATTCCTACAAGTACATGTAGTCCATGAGGCCGAAAATACGTCGAGAAATGAACATGCTATTCCATTTTATTGTGAGTGGTATGAACACCAAATGCCAAAAAACAATTACTTTCGGGTCCGTTAATTCCAAATTCCTTGCCAATATCTCATGATTTGAAGAATTAGACTGGAACCTTTTTCCTGTCAATGTTGTGAGTCGGCCAGCAAATGGGAGCAGTCAAATTGACGCCTGCTCTCTTGTGACCTTGACAGTTACTTTTATAGGAAAGCTGGGAGCGTGAGTGAGTACAACTCAAGCATCAAGCCATACCCGACAAAAACGGCAAAGTCATATTAGCCTTATTACCGGCAATATAAGCCTTCCTATTGGTTAGAAGGTATAATTGTTCAGAAAGGACAGAAAGATTTGTTTTTGCTGACGACTTACATGTACGAAAATGTGGCACATATAGTGTGATTAACGACCTTGAATATTCATTTCATTTATAATCTTGGTATCAAAATCATTAAACAGAAATTACATTCGCGAAAATGGAAATGGTTTGAAAAGATAGCGAAGTACACCTTATAACCTAAAGACGTGCTGCACTAGTATGTCAAATACACGGCTGAGTCTTTTGCTGTACTTGCTAACTGTGATTTAATATTTCTAGATACTATACCTTTTTATCTTTCAGGGACGAACTGAGGATTAACAACTAGACAAGCGTTCCAAACCAGAATGCTCTTTACAGGCACCCAGTTCTTAGTGATTAGCCAAGTTTTTACAGCGGCAACATTGTACCAAGTCATCAACTTTTACCAAAACTGGAAGGACACGAGTGCCTGGCAGGCTGCATTCAGGGGTAGGCCAACTACTAGTACCCTGTACATGTAACAGTACAACGTGGGCACATTGCTTTACACTTCCCCCGGCCAAACCTACACGTTGATTTGTACTGGATACTTACAGATACCGTCAGCAAAATGTCAGGTCTGCTGAAATTCACTGCTATGTTGCTGCAAACTGAATTCTTTCTTGACAATTTGCTGCAATATGGCTGCAAATAAGCAGCAATTAAATTTTCTTTTAGTGTAATACATTCACCTGGTTCCTAATGGAAAGTAGTTTACGTTACGTGTGTCCGATTGGGGTGTAGTTCTCAAACAAACGATACGAAAGAAAACAAAAACCATATGCAGGGTCATTCGATGCCCCTTTTCCCTATACCCTAAATATGCTTAATCACGGGTCTGACGTCATAAACAAACAGAGTGGCAATTACCTTAATATAATACTAACACTGTTCTACAATCGCATGAAAATTACATTAGTTTTGAATGTAAATTCATATAACGGTGGTATATGAAACCGTAAAGTTAGACGCCTATTGTTTCTTGCATTAGCCTATATAGACCTTGTCAAGCGCAACGCTGACAGTTGTGTTTTCATACACTTTTGGAGTCACGCTATTTTAAATTTCAAATACTCCAGAAATGACTGTGATACACCCATATTACAAATAAACATTAATAGGAAGTCATATATTGGCAATCGTAGGCCTACTTTCACCCTTGAACTGGACTTTGCAAATGTTTCAGCCGTGCCTTCTTCAGAACTAGCAGGGATAAACCCATAGTTACCATTGAACATGAATAGGAAATCATATATTGCACTCCTTAATGTAACCTTCAGTTTGACCTTTCAGTTTCACATGCAAGTTCTTTCACCCTGAAATGCAGTTTGCCAATTTTCTGGTCATTATATCTCCAAAACTCGCAATTTTACTCTTATGGCCACTGTTGTACTTTATTCGGAATCCTAATGTGACCTTGAATTTGACTTACGAACTACTTTGGAGGTTAATCCCGCTCTCATCCTCTAGTTTATACCTGGCGTCACTAAGTTTACCTGTGAAACCTGTGAAAAAGTTATGTTCAATGCGCTAAGATACTATTTAGGAGTACACCGATTTACACAAAAAAATTAGTCTGTATGGTGACTCAGGTTGGATACCTCTAAAATTTAATATGTGGTTGAACATACTTAGACTTTGGAACAATTTAATACTTGCCCAGAATGAAAGACTTGTGAAACAGATTTTTTTAGAAGATTATAAATTGGGGAAAAATACTCGTGCTCCAAGGTAAGAGAGATACTTAAATTCTGTAATATGGAAACCCATTTTTCGAACAAACAAGTTGTGGATATAGAAGACATTAAAAAACTCTTTTATGAAAGATTCCAAATTAAATGGAAAAAAGACATTTTGAAATTTCCCAAACTTCGAATATATATGACATTTAAAAAAGAATTGAAAACTGAAAAATATTTACACCTAGACTTAAATAGAAAAGAAAAATCAACTTTTACTCAATTTTGGATAGGCATTTTGCTGCATGTAGAAACTGGACGGTATACAAATACACCTTTAAACAAAAAATATGCCTAGTATACAGGGTATGTAAAATAGAATTAGAAGATGAGAGTCATTTCTTACTTCGGTGCACTGCCTACACAGAGGAAAGATATATTTTTTTTAAGTTGGTAATCCAAGAAAATGATACCTCTATAGAAGATTTGATGGAAAATAATTTGAGGAAGTTAGTGAAATTTGAAGTTAAAATTTTTGATAAAAGGCAGGAACAATTGTACTCAACAGGTGTCTTATACGCCCGAAGGGCTGGGTGTTCAAAACACAAGACACGTAAATAAATAAATTAATGATGATTTACTGATTTAATCGTAGCTGCGGTTCTATCAGCATGACCTGGATACGTACATACGGGTACCAGTACACCCACCAGCTTAAGACTGACGTAAAAATATAGCAACGTCATTCAGCAAACTTTGTTGTATGTGCATGTACTTATTATGCTCAACCTGTGTTGCAGGCGACACATCTAACTGGGCCTCAAGTTGACTTAAATATTAATAAATAAGAATTGAGGCGGTTTATCAACAAGACAGGCGTTCCAAACTACCAGAATGCTCTCTATACGCACCGGGTTCTTGGTGGTGAGCCAGGTTTTTACAGCGGTGACATTGTACCAAGTCATCAACTTGTTCCATAACTGGAAGGACACGAGTGGTCGTCAAGCTGCTTTCAGGGGTAGGTCAGCTATAGGTACATGTACTAATATCATAACACATATCCATATTGCTTCACGTTACCCTCTTCCAAGACCACAGATTGATTTGAACCGAGTATTTACATATGTTCCTCTGACCAATAAAGGTAGATCGGTCGTTACGTAATTTGACGATTTGCAATTTCGGCGCATCGTCAATCGTTTCTAACGACATTTCAGTCTGTTTAATCAATTTAAGGAAATAAAACAATTATCTATAAGATAAACAAATATTATCAATTTGTCTTTAACTCGGTACGACCGATATAGATTTTCGACAACATTCGCCGACTATGATTCCATACGACAACTGTAGAACGTTCATTGACTTGCCCTTAAGAAATCGACGGAAAATAGCTCTTCTTAAATTTGAATGGGCACTATAGAAAAAGTATGACAGCTAAAGCTCACAAATTATGCAAGTAGGCTCTATATCATGTAAAGAATATGTCTTGAAAATTTCTATCAAAGCGGTTAAAGAATTTTATTTTACCTTTTTTATTATTTACACTGTACAGATAATTATTTATCCTTTGGCTTAGAAATAATATCTCGTCATGCATTCACCTAGCCTCTTTTAGAGAGTAGCTTTATGTTACGTTTGTCAGATCAAGGTGGGTTTTTTTTTTTAACTCACACAAACCAGCTAGAGGAGAAGGTTAGATGGAGAAGTACAAACCCGATGTCCCAGTTAATGAACCCAAAAGTCGCTTTATCAATCGTCTGACATTTTTCAGTGAACAGGGTCCATATCAAACCAACACTGAAATGTACATTCATAGCGCTATGCAAAGAGGGCGTATCGTTTGCAGAGCACATGTACCTTGGTTTTGAACTTAAGTTTAAATAGTAGTGGTGTACAGGTATGTGTCCCGTAAACGTTGCATATCACGAACTGTAATAATTAAAAAAATGTTAGGGAAACTGCTTGCGGTATATTTCTATAACACGATAGTGTTATGCAATTTATCTTCAATCTGTGTTGTCAATTTATCTTCACTCTTAAAATCAAATCTGATAAAGGAAAAAGTCTCTTCAGAATAATAAACGTAGACGACAAATACACGGTAAACACCCTTTTAAATTTGACAGAAAGGGGAGGCCTATTGATGCCTCTTACACAGTGAAAATACTAGTAGTTTGGTTTAATTATTGTCATTTGGCTCTTTTGCTTCCTCCCACCAAACAAAGGTACCAGAGACACCAGCTCAGAGCGTTATGTACACTGTAACCTTCCTACCCGGAGAATATGTATTCATGCTTAAGGCAACTTAATGACAAACGTTTTTGAGTCGGATAGAAATACGATAGATATTCAAGTAATAGCGTGAAGAGAAAATAACATTTAGCCCATATAGGCGTATAACTACCTAGGCATGATGGCTGATAAGACACGCCTTATATATTTTTGGCAAGCAGGAAAATACCGTATGATCTAATATACTGAACACCGTCCATATGACCTTAACACATTCTGATCTTTCAAATTTGATCTTTAAATCTCACTATTAAATTATCACTATATGAATTAATCTTCATTTTAATTTTCCTTTTTGTTTTTTGTTAGGGCTAGTGGTATTCCTCACGGGTGCCGGAGGTCTTGTCACCTATGACATATACAGGAAACGACCCGCTAAAAGCCACACGTGGAGGACGGTGTTACTACAGTACACTCTTACACAAATATTCCGAGTGTTTGGGTATTTTTCTCTCAGGAATTTCGAGACAGCAAGCAAGAACATCAGCAAAATGCAAGAAGATGTGTTAATGTTTTACATTCGCACACTGGAAAATACGGAGTTTGGCAAGAAACACAATTATTCTCAGATGCGGACGAGGGAAGATTTTTTGAAACTGCACCCAGTTTTGTCTTATGCCGACCTTAAACCTTACATTGACAAAACTGTAGCGGGCGAGAAAAACCAAATCACTCCATTTGATCCATTTTACATCGCCTTTACTTCAGGGACAACCGGTAAAAACAAAGCGTTCGTATATACAAAGGAGATGTTTGCCAAACCATCAAAGATGTTTAAAGCTCTTCTCTTTATGACTTTAAGCTTTAAGAGAGCTGGGCTATGGGATGGCCTTAAACGCTATCACCTGGTCAGAATAGGAGTCAAGACAAATTTTACAGACAGTGGCATAATAACTGGTCCTATAGCCGGGATGTATGAATTCTTTCCAGGTTATTTGGTTTCACCACGTGTGGTGTATGACGTCGCTACCGAAAACGAGGCCCATTATTTACATGTTCTCTTCGCCCTAAAAGATCCTGAAATTGGGGCCTTCGACTTCTCTTTCCCGTCTGTTGCTACCCGGTTTTGTCAAACTTTGGAACACCAGTGGCCACAGCTATGTGACGATATAGAAAACGGTACCCTGAACACAGACTTGGACATACCCGAGGACATTAGGGAAAAGTTGCAGACCGATATGAGGGCGGATCCCCAAAGAGCTGTTGAAGTTCGACAGATCATAAGGCGGGGCTTTGATGGAATTGTGCGCCGTTTATGGCCAGAATGTAACGCAGCTCTTATGTTGAGTTCGGGCTCTCTTCTTCCTGAGGCCGAAGGATTGAAGAAGCATTATCTGAAAGATGTTCCGTTTTGTAATCCCGTCCATGCCGCTACAGAGGGTTTTTTCGGGTTTTGTGACCCTGGCGACAACAGCCAAACGCGGTTCATTATGACGACTTCCATAAATCACTTTGACTTCATCCCTGTGGAGGAAACAGATAAACCATCTCCCCGTGTGGTGCCCATTGAGGAGGTAAGCACAATTAACCGTAGCTCTAATGAGGCAGTTGTGCACTAGTCTCGGCTTAAATTTTTCGTTATTCTTTTCACGGGAAAAAACTAAGGCTTGAGGGCAACTCCATGGGATTTGGGATTTTCCCTCGAAAATGAATTTTACTGAAGTAAAGAACAATTTGCTGTTATCCCCAAATAATTGTTTGTCCCATCTTTGTACTTTGAAAGATAATCAGGACACCAGACAGGCTTCGTATATACTTTTATTATAGGGTTTTATTGTCTGGAGTTTGAATTTGGAAAGCTTTACATGAAATACATGCATATGACCGTGGGGGATTTTCAAACGGGTGGAGAGAGTATCCTCTTTCAATTTTTTTTTACAGGAAACTACCATGAAGTGGTCTTTTTAAGTTGCATATGCCCCTCCCCCCAAAAAGGGGGGTTTTCACTGACAGAAAATTGCTCTTTTGTTGCATGCATGAATGTTTTTAATAACGGGTTCCCAAACCTTACCAAAATCTCATATATACTGGAAAGTTCATGTTTATATAATTGATAATTTCTTTATAATATATGTACACGCTTGATTCTTTATCCGTTTTAATTGTCTTATTTGTATGCATTGTGTAATATGTTTTTTCATCCCCCAATCAGGTACAAATAGGACAGTGCTATGAACTGGTTATAACAACCGCGGTTGCCGTTCGTTACAGACAAGGTGATGTGGTGAAAATAGTGGATTTTCACAACCAGGTTCCAGTATATGAGTTCCAATATAGGTAACTCCTACTGATATCTGATCAGCTTTACATCAAGAAAAAACAGGCCTTCCAACTACCAGAATCGGCACATAAGGATCCAGAATTAACCGGTATATAGGACCACACTACCCGTTTTCAAGGTGTGTGTTAGATCGCATTTCAGCCAGAACACCTACAGGATGAGCCCGCGGTCGTCCTACAAATTTTTTGGGGGGTATGATACTCCGAAATCTGATACACACCTTGAAAACGGGTAGTGTGGTCCGATATACTGGTTAATTCAGGATCCTTATGTGCCGAGTCTGGTAGTTGGAAAGGCCTGAAAAAGAAATTTGTATTTCATGGAACTGTACAAGTACCAAATAATAGTTGTGGTTTTATAAACTGACGTGACCGTTATCAGTTGAGTTGAAACTTTTAATTCACCATACTATTAAAATGAGTAATTTCATATTTGTTAATCATTGATATCACGGCTGCCTTTTATTAGATGCCAATCTAAGTTGTAACTAAAATGACAAAAACTTTGAATGTCGGGACTGAACCATCAAACAGTGGAAATCAAGTTAGGAAATATTTTAGTTAAATCCGTTTTAATGTCGCTATTATGTTTTATTTCAGACTGGGGCAGATGTTGAATCTTTACTGGGAAAAGATGACCGAGGGGGCCTTTGTCCACGCACTCCGAGGAGCAGCCAAGCGCATCGATGTTGACATAGTTGAATATACTGCGACGGAGAACGTCAACTTTGAAGCTATCGCTGGTAAGTTAATCCATGGCAGATCTTACACCGTTTGGTTTGCTTTAATTATGGATATAGATGAAAGATATAATCTCATGTCACAACCTACTGCACATAACAACATAATACGTTTTTTTTCAGACGCTCTACAAAAAGGACGACACTACGTATTGTTTATGGAGTTGTCAGAAAAAGCGAACAAGGAACAAGTGAGAATGACTTCACAACAGAAACAGATGGCAAGTGCTTCTGTATTATTTCTTTGTTTTACATACTTTTTTCAAGTGGCAAGTGCTAGTAGGAAATTTAACAAGTTAAAAGTGCGCTGTTTGGTATTCGGATAAAGTGAAAACTATGCCCACTTACTTTGTAAACAGTTTCTGAAGAATGTATTTAAAGTGAAAAACCATTCTTACAGGGGTATGCCTTACTGTGCTGGCAATGTTGATATCCACTGCATTTAGAGTCAATACAGTCGATACCACTTTAGATGTATCTTCATATGTTTTAGTTTGAAGACGTTTTGTACCAAGAACACGAAGTTTACAGGATGTTGAGAGATAATGGAAGTATTCTCCCCATGAAAGTTATCCAAGTGAAGACCGGGGCGTTTAATGCCTTAAAGGACGCCATAGTGGAAAGCAACCCTCGTACAAGTCGATTACAGTACAAGACACCGCGCGTGCTGAGGGCACCTGATCGTCTGCGCATTCTGTGGGACTCTCGCCTGTCGTGATGGCTGGGATGCAGCCTCTAGTTTAATTTTCTTAGTATTGATCGAGAACACTACTAACTGGTTAATTGATTTATCAAGTGCTTATTCCATGTTATTTCAGCTTTCGTTTATATAGCTATACAGGGGTATACTTGTTGTTGTTGTTGTTGTTGTTGTTGTTGCTGTAGTTGGGCTGTCGTTTGATATATTATCATTATTACCATCATTATCATCACTTATTAGTTATCAATTAATTTTATACATTAATATCACATTGAACACAATAATTGAACATACTTATTTTGAATTAAAACTAATATAATGAATAGATGATTTAATATTGAAACAGTACACAAATAACCTTAATTACTACTTTTATATCTACATGTATGTGAGAAATTGATATGCTGCATCCTCAGCAACTGTTATGTCAGAATGACAAAAGGAGTTAATATAATAATTTTCCACTCTTTTAATAAAACGTGCGTGAATGAATGGTGGTAGAACGTACAGCAATGACTTGCCGTCGAGAGAATCCCTATTATATTTTTATTGTTTAAATGCGGCCAAGGACTGCTCTCTGCTTTTCCTTCAATTCGGGAAAATTAAATTTCCCTTACCATCGAAAACTTAGAAAACCAGCTCGTGTTCCTTTTTTATCTACATGTAGGTCTGCTCCTGTCCGAGCTTCTTTTGATGAATGAATATTGAGCAAGCGGTGCCATGTATTTTCATAATCATTGTAGCCTCTTTCGCAGATGTATATCATTATTGCTTGAAAGCAAAAACCAGCTCCATGCATCTGTGGATGTTGTGTAATTATTAATAAACGATTCGATTTCATATTGTTGATGTTATTTATTTTATACCTTAGCAAGTTGATTGAAGACACACACATATATATATAAAGGAATCTGTGAATTGTGCATGCGGGGAGATGAAATATTTTAAGGAGTAGTAGCTCAGGCTCGTAGCCAGGGGGGTTCGGGAGGTTCGAAAGAACCGCCCCTTTTGCTGGGAAAAGGTCCACTCTTGGTAAAATTTGATCTAGGTACACGAAATTTTTATGGGAAAAGGTCCACTTTTTCAGAAAAAGAACCCCCTTTGGAAATTGCTGGCTACGGGCATGTAGCTACTACTTAGGGTGCAGATAGGCGTGGGACGCATTCCTACCAGTACATGTAGTCCATGAGGCCGAAAGTAAGTCGACAAATGAACATGCTATTCCATTTTATTGTGAGTGTTATGAACACCAAATGCCAAAGAACAATTGCTTTCGGGTCCGTTAACTTCAAATTCCTTGCCAATATCCCATGATTTGAAGAATAAGACTGGAACTTTTTTCCTGTCAATGTTGTGAGTCGGCCAGCAAATGGGAGCAGTCAAATTGACGCCTGCTCTCTTGTGACCTTGACAGTTACTTTCATAGGAAAGCTAGGAGCGTGAGTGAGTACAACTCAGGCATCAAGCCCCCGACAAAAACGGCGAGGTCATATTAGCCTTATTACCTGCAATATAGGCATTCCTATTGGTTAGAAGTTATAATTATTGAGAAAGGACAGGAAGATGGCTTTTTACTGACGACTTAGATGTACGAAAATGTGGCACATGTAGTGTGATTAACGACCTTGAATATTCATTTAATTTATAGTCTTGTTATCAAAATCATTAAACAGAAATTACATTCGCGAAAATGGAAATGGTTTGAAAAGATAGCGAAGTACACCTTATAAACTAAAGACGTGCTGCACTAGTATGTCAAGTACACGGCTGAGTCTTTTGCTGTACTCCCTGACTGTGTTTGAATATTTCTAGATACTATACCTTTTTATCTTTCAGGGATGAACTGAGGATTAACAACTAGACAAGCGTTCCAAACCTGAATGCTCCCTATGGGCACCCAGTTCTTAGTGATTAGCCAAGTTTTTACAGCGGCAACATTGTACCAAGTCATCAACTTTTACCAAAACTGGAAGGACACGAGTGCCTAGCAGGCTGCTTTCAGGGGTAGGTCAACTACTAGAACCCTGTACATGTAACAGTATAACGTGGGCACATTGATTTACACTTCCCTATGCCAAGCCTACACGTTGATTTGCATTGGCTGCTTACAGATACCCTTAGCAAAAAATCAGGTTTGCTGAAATTTGCTGCAATATGGCTGCAAATTAGCAGCAATTAAANGCTACTACTTAGGGTGCAGATAGGCGTGGGACGCATTCCTACCAGTACATGTAGTCCATGAGGCCGAAGGTAAGTCGACAAATGAACATGCTATTCCATTTTATTGTGAGTGTTATGAACACCAAATGCCAAAGAACAATTGCTTTCGGGTCCGTTAACTTCAAATTCCTTGCCAATATCCCATGATTTGAAGAATAAGACTGGAACTTTTTTCCTGTCAATGTTGTGAGTCGGCCAGCAAATGGGAGCAGTCAAATTGACGCCTGCTCTCTTGTGACCTTGACAGTTACTTTCATAGGAAAGCTAGGAGCGTGAGTGAGTACAACTCAGGCATCAAGCCCCCGACAAAAACGGCGAGGTCATATTAGCCTTATTACCTGCAATATAGGCCTTCCTATTGGTTAGAAGGTATAATTGTTCAGAAAGGACAGAAAGATGGCTTTTTACTGACGACTTACATGTACGAAAATGTGGCACATGTAGTGTGATTAACGACCTTGAATATTCATTTAATTTATAGTCTTGTTATCAAAATCATTAAACAGAAATTACATTCGCGAAAATGGAAATGGTTTGAAAAGATAGCGAAGTACACCTTATAAACTAAAGACGTGCTGCACTAGTATGTCAAGTACACGGCTGAGTCTTTTGCTGTACTCCCTGACTGTGTTTGAATATTTCTAAATACTATACCTTTTTATCTTTCAGGGACGAACTGAGGATAAACAACTAGACAAGCGTTCCAAACCAGAATGCTCTCTACAGGCACCCAGTTCTTAGTGATTAGCCAAGTTTGTACAGCGGCGATATTGTACCAAGTCATCAACTTGTACCAAAACTGGAAGGACACGAGTGCCTAGCAGGCTGCTTTCAGGGGTAGGTCAACTACTAGAACCCTGTACATGTAACAGTATAACGTGGGCACATTGATTTACACTTCCCTATGCCAAGCCTACACGTTGATTTGCATTGGCTGCTTACAGATACCCTTAGCAAAAAATCAGGTTTGCTGAAATTTGCTGCAACGTTGCTGCAACGTTGCTGCAAACTGAATTCCTTCTTGAAAATTGCTGCAATCTGGCTGCAAATTAGCAGCAATTAAATTTTCTTTTTGTGTAATACATTCACCTGGACTCTCATGTAAATTAGTTTACGTAACGTGTGTCCGATTGGGGTGTAGTTCTCACACAAACAGATAGAGGACAATATACGAAGGAAAACAAAAACCATATGCAGGGTCATTCGATGTCCCGTTTCCTGTACCCTAAAGATGCGTAATCACGCGTCTGACGTCATAAACAAACAGGGTGACAATTACCTTCATATAATACTAACAATGTTCTACAATCGTATGAATTTTTTTACATTAGTTTTGAATGTAAATTCATATAGCGGTGGTATATGAAACCGTAAAGTTAAACGCCTCTTGTTTTTGCATTATATAGACCTTGTCAAGCGCAACGCTGACAGCTGTGTTTGCATACGGTTTTGGAGTCGCGCTATTTTAAATGGCGAAAAGAAAATTTTAAAATAAAATCTTAAATACTCCAGAAATGGCTGCGATACACCCATATTACTAATAAACATGAATAGGAAGTCATATATTGGCCATCCTACTTTCACCCTTGAACTGGACTTTGCAAATGTTTCAGCCGTACCTTCTTCAGAACTAGCAGAGATAAGCCAATAGGTACCATTGAACATAAATAAGAAATCATATATTGCAATTCCTTAACGTAACCTTGAGTTTGACCTTTCAGATTCACATGCACGTTCTTTCACCCTGAAATGCAGTTTCCCATTTTGCTAGTCCTTATATGTCCAATACTCGCAATTTTACTCTTATGGTCACTGCTGAACTTTATTCGGAATCTTAATGTGACCTTGATTTTGACCTCTGACCTACTTTGGAGGTTAATCCCGCTCTGATCCTCTAGTTTATACCTGGCGTCACTACGTTTACTGATTTAATCGTAGCTGCAGTACTTCACTGCACGTGGCGTTCTATCAGCATGACCTAGATACGTACACACGGGTACAAATACACCCACCAGCTTAAGACTGATGTACAAATAAAGCAACGTCATTTAGCAAACTTTGTCTACATGTGCATGTACTTATTATGCTCAACCTGTCTTGCAGGCGACACATCTAACTGGGCCTCAAGTTGACTTAAATATTCTTAAAACTATTATCTTTCGGCGAAGAACTGAGGCGGTTTATCAACAAGACAGGCTTTCCAAACTACCAGAATGCTCTCTATTGGCACCAAGTTCTTGGTTGTGAGCCAGGTTTTTACAGTGGTGACATTGTACCAAGTCATCAACTTGTTCCATAACTGGAAGGACACGAGTGGCTGGCAAGCTGCATTCAGGGGTAGGTCAGCTTCAAGTACCTTGTATGTGTACTAATTATATACACGTATTTACATTACTTTACGTTACCCTCTTCCAAAAACACAGATTGTTTTTTACCGAGTATTAACAGATATTCCTCTGGCCATTTAAATATTTTATTTTACGCTTTAATTATTAACGCTGTACAGAGAATCATTTATCCTTCGGCTTAGAAATAACATCTCATCATGCATTCACCTGACCTTTAAAGATAGTAGCTTTACTTGACGTGTCAGATTGGGGTGTAGTTTTCAATTCACTCAAACAGATAGAGGAGAAGGTTAGGTGGAGGAATACAAACCAGTATGCAAGGCCAATCGATGTCCCGCTTACTGAACCCTTAAGTCGCGTCTTACGTTATTCAATGAACAGGGTCCATATCAAACCAACACTGTACTGTACATTCATGGCGCTATGCAAAGAGGGCGTATGTTTGCAGAGCACATGTGCCTTGGTTTCGAACTAAAATTTAAATAGTTGTACTATACGTGTATGTGTCCCGTAAACGTTGCACTTAAAAAGAAGATGTTAAGGAAACTGCTTGCGGTAATCCTAAAACAATGTTTATTTTATACCCAATGGTCGTCGGCTTACTATAATCTCCAAAGGCATATTTCAATTTCATATTGCTATAACACGGTAGTTTTATGCAATTTATCTTCAATATGTGTTGTAAAATTTATCTTCACTCTTACATACAAAACTGAATCAAGGAAAAAGCATCTTCAGAGTAATAAACGTATATGATAAATATACACCCTTTTAAATTTGACAAACTACAGACTACTGATTGCAGTAGTCTACTGCGCTGGAGTATCTACTGCGTTTTCGTGCGGGTACCCGGAGAATATATATTCATGCTTAAGGCAACTTAATTACAAAATATTCCTAGTACTGAGTTTTTGTTATCTTGTTATCGAGTCGGACAGAAATACAATAGATATTCAGGTAATAGCGTGAAGAGAAAATAACATTTAGCCCATATAGGCGTATAACTTCCTAGGCATGATGGCTGATAAGACACGCCTTATATATTTTTGGCAAAAAGGAATCCGTATGATATAATATACTGGTCACCGTCCATGTTACCTAAACACATTCTGATCTTTTTAATTTGATCTTTAAATCTCACTATTATCACTATATGAATTAATCTACATTTTAATTTTCCTTTTTATTCTTTGTTAGGGCTAGTGGTATTCTTCACGGGTGCCGGAGGCCTTGTCACCTATGACATATACAGGAAACGACCCGCTAAAAGCCACACGTTGAGGACGGTGTTACTACAGTACACTCTTACACAAATGTTCCGAGTGTTTGGGTATTTTTCTCTCAGGAATTTTGAGACAGCAAGCAAGAACATCAGCAAGATGCAAGAAGATGCATTAATGTTTTACATTCGCACGCTGGAAAATACGGAGTTTGGCAAGAAACACAATTATTCTCAGATGCGGACGAGGGAAGATTTTTTGAAACTGCACCCAGTTCTGTCTTACGCCGACCTTAAACCTTACATTGACAAAACTGTAGCGGGCGAAAAAAACCAAATCACTCCATTTGACCCGTTTTACATCGCCTTCACTTCAGGGACCACCGGTAAAAACAAAGCGTTCGTATATACAAAGGAGATGTTTGCCAAACCATCAAAGTTGTTTAAAAACCTTCTCTTTAGTACTTTAAGCTTTAAGAGAGCTGGGCTATGGGATGACCTGAAACGCTATCACGAGGTCAGAATAGGAGTCAAGACAAATTTTACTGACAGTGGCATAAGAACTGGACCTATAGCTGGGATGTATGAATTCTTTCCAAGTTATTTGATTTCACCACGTGTCGTGTATGACGTCACTACCGAAAATGAGGCCCATTATTTACATGTTCTCTTTGCCCTAAAAGATCCTGATATTGGGGCTTTCAACTTTTCTTTCCCGTCTGTTGCTACCCGGTTTTGTCAAACTTTGGAACACCAGTGGCCACAGCTATGTGACGACATAGAACACGGTACCCTGAACACCGAATTGGACATACCAGACGACATCAGGGAAAAGTTGCAGACTGATATGAGGGCCGATCCCCAAAGAGCTGTTGAAGTTAGACAGATCATAAGGCAGGGCTTTGACGGAATTGTGCGCCGTTTATGGCCGGAATGCAACGCAGCTATATTGTTGAGCTCGGGTTCTCTTCTGCCTGAGGCTGAAGGATTGAAGAAGCATTATCTGAAAGACGTTAAGTTTTGTAATCCCCTCCATGCCGCCACAGAGGGTTTTTTCGGATTTAGTGACCCTGACGACAACAGCCAAACGCGGTTCATTATGACGACTTCCTTAAATCACTTTGACTTCATCCCTGTGGAGGAAACAGATAAACCATCTCCCCGTGTGGTACCCATTGAGGAGGTAAGCACAATTAACTGTAGCTCTAATGAGGCAGTTGTGCTCTAGTCTCAGCTTAATGTTTTCTTTATTCTTTTCACCGGAAAAACTAAGGTTTAAGGGCAACTCCATGGGATTTTCCCTCCAAAATGAATTTTACTGTGATAAAGAGCAATTTGCTGTTATTCACAAATAGAGCACTAACTGTTTGACCCATCTTTGCACTTGGAGAGATAATAAGGACCCCAGACAGGCTTCACATACATTTTTTATAATAAGGTTTTATTGTCTGGAGTTTGAATTTGGAAAGCTTCACAAGACAGACATGCATATGGCCATGGGGGATTTTCAAACGGGTGGAGAGAGTTTCCTATTACAATTCTTTTAACATGAAGTGGTCTTTTAAAGTAGTATATGCCCCTCCCCGGGGTTTTCACTGACAAATTTGCTTTGTTGTTGCATGCATGAATGTTTGGGCAACTCCATGGGATGTTCCCGTCACAATTAATTTTACTGGGTTCCCAAATTTTGTCAAAATCTCATATTTACTTGAAAGTTAATATTTATATAACTGATACTTTCTTTATAATACACGTTTGATTCTTTATCCGTTTTAGTTGTCTTATTTGTATGCATTGTGTAATATGTTTTTTATCCCCCAATCAGGTACAAATAGGACAGTGTTATGAACTGGTTATAACAACCGCGGTTGCCGTGCGTTACAGACAAGGTGACGTGGTGAAGATAGTAGATTTTCACAACCAGGTTCCAGTATATGAGTTCCAATATAGGTAACTCCTACTGATCACTGATCAGCTTTACATCAAGAAAAAAGCAATTATTATTTTATGGAACTATACAATTCCGAATAATAGTTGTGGTTTTATAAACTGATGTAACCGTTATCAGTTGTGTTTAACCTTTTAATTCACCAAACTATTGAAATAAATAATTTCATATTTGTTAGTCATTGATATCACGGCCGCCTTTTATTAGATACAAAACTTAGTTGTTACTAAAATGACAAAAACTTTGAATGTCGGGATAGAACCATCAACCAGTGGAAATTAAGTGAGGAAATATTTAAGTTAAATCCGTTTAAATGTCGCTATTATGTTTTATTTCAGACTGGGGCAGATGTTGAATCTTTACTGGGAAAAGATGACCGAGGGGGCCTTTGTCCACGCACTCCGAGGAGCAGCCAAGCGCATCGATGTTGACATTGTTGAATATACTGCAACGGAGAACGTCAACTTTGAAGCTATCGCTGGTAAGTTAATCCACGGCAGATCTTACATCGTTTGGTCTGCTTTAATTATGGATATAGATTAAAGATTATGTCTCATGTCACAACCGACTGCACTTAACAACATAACACTTTTTTTCAGAGCCTCTACAAAATGGACGACACTATGTTTTGTTTATGGAGTTGTCAGAAAACTCGAACAAGAAACAAGCGAGGATGAGTTCACAACAGAAGCAGATGGCAAGTGCTTTTGTATCATTTCTTTGTTTGCATACTTTTTTCAATTGGCAAGTGCTATTAGGAACTAAAACAAGTTTTTAGATGTGAGATGTTTGATATTAGGATGGAACTGTACAATTCCTAATAAAAGTTGTGGTTTTATTAGCTGATGTAACCGTTGCTTTCAGAAGAAAAAATGTATTTAAAGTGGAAAACCATTCGAACAGGTGTATGCTTACTGTGGTGGCAGTAATGCCCGCCATTGCATTTAAAGTCGATGCCAATATAGATTTATCTTTATATGTTTTAGTTTGAAGACGTTTTGTACCAAGAACACGAAGTTTACAGGATGTTGAGAGATAATGGAAGTATTCTCCCCATGAAAGTTATCCAAGTGAAGACCGGGGCGTTCAATGCCTTGAAGGACGCCATAGTGGAAAGCAACCCTCGTACAAGTCGATTACAGTACAAGACACCGCGCGTGCTGAGGGCACCTGATCGTCTGCTCATTCTGTGGGACTCCCGCCTGTAGTGATTGTTGGGATACAACCTCTAGTTTAGTTTTCTACGTACTGACCGAGAAGACTGCCAACTGGTTTATTGATTTATTAACTGCTTATGCCATGTTATTGCAGCTTTTGTTTATATAGATAGATAGATAGATAGATTGATTCAAGAAAATATTCACAAAAAACGGATGCATCACGATATTGGCCATTAATATAACACGACAGATTTAATTTTCAAAAAGTTAAACTACTTTTAAATATAATTGAAACACAGTCAACCCCTATGACACGAACACACGTCGGGTTTTATCGCCAGTTAGCTAGCAATAACCTTCAAATTGATACATGTTGATCTTTGTTTGCCAAAATCTTCTTTTCAACTCGTTCGCGTCAGCGTTCTGGATTTGTCCACTGAAAAATGCAAATGTAGTAAGGATAAATGACTTATTTGAATCAGGAAAATGTTGATTTTCGTATGTAAAGTGAATACTTGTGTTACATTCAAACAGTCATACTGAAGTGCAAATAAACAGGACTTAAATTCGAGTTTCCACCCTAAAATGTATATAAATGATCGAAATACCTTGTGTTTTGGATCGCTTGTTGGGTTTTGCAGATGAATAGATTTCTGACAGAGTGCCTGTAATAACTGAACTCCTTGCCATTCTCTGTTTTTATAACGCTTGGTCCACTGGTGTAATAAGAGATTGTAGTATCTGGAAAGAAGAAGAACAAATCAACGATTTTTTTTCGTTTTCGACTGTTTCTTAATCACGAGATGAGCACAGATTATTTTGAATTACATTAATCTATGTTTAAAAATGCCTATGTCATAACCTATATATAGATGTAATGCAGTGCGTGTGAAGAAGAACAAATCTACATTTTTCCTATTTCGAGTAGGCATTTCTGTCGTTAGAAAAACATTGATTTAAATAACCTCAATTAATGTTTAAAATGTCTACGTTATGACCGATTAATGTAATGCGGTGCGCCTGCTTTACCTTGGTATCTCTAAGAACTGAATGTATTTATCAGACTCGGAAGGGAACAGTATTTCATAATCTCCTCTCCTATTCTGCTCGTCTATTGTTTCTACGAGAACTCTGACGTCATCTGGGGTAAGAACATCCAATATGGTGCTCTGGATTGTCTGTAATTATAAATTAAATGTGCATACGTTATTGGGTTTCATATTTGTCTTTGCCATATATGTGAGGCAACAACAAGTTGAATTTTAATTAATCACACCTTTGCCTACTAATCTACGCTTATTTTCAGCCAGTTGGTATTTGATTTACTTACCAAATTATTTGCGTATTTGCAGTAGTATGCATGTTTCTCGTTCTCATCTGGGGACAAAACATATGTGTGAAGCCGCATGTCCATTTTCACGTCATCAAATTCAAAGTTCCTGGATTTTAAATACGATTAAGACAACATGTACAGCTTGAAAATATATTTGAGCAGGTACTTTAATTCTTAAATGAATATACACCTTGAATTATTCCTTTTTATTCATTTCATTTATAATTGTTTTTTATAGCAAGTAAATGTGCATGTGAATATGACTAAACTATAAACAAACATAAAAGATGATGTGATTAAAACTGAAAATATATTTGAGCAGGCACTTTTAAACTAAAATGGATGTACGTCTTGAATTATTCCAGGGCCTAACGAAACGCAATTTTTATTCATTTATTTTATATTGTTCTTTAAAGAAAGTAAATGTGTATGTGAATATTGCTTAACTATTAACAAACATAAAAGATAATGTGATTACAACTGTCTCTTTCTAGTACTGCAGGATCAATATAAATAAGCCCCCACTGTGTACCTTCTGTCTTGTTTCGATTCTCCATTGGTCCCAATGTGTGCATCTCCCGGTATCTGGAATCCCGCTATATTAAGCATGTCTTTCACAACTACCCCGTCAACATTTTCCGAATGGCGGCTGTAATTTGAATACGCATTACCTCAATAAATTACGCAGCGTACGAAATATATTTTTATTACAAAGCAGCAAAACTTAAGTGAGTTTGACAAACCACCGACAAGTAACGACAGTCGCACATATTGCAATATCGTAACTTAATGTGCGAATAAATTGTACGTTTACACAAGAGCCAATGGAATTATATATATTGATGCACCTTTGAAGAAAAATAGATCTAAAATGAAAATATACTTCTATTTTCCTTAAGATCTATACGGTGAATAAACATGAATCCACAAGACCCAATATAGCGAGAAAGTGTAAGCTGTAGAGGTCTGGGATTAAACCCAGCCGCTGGTGCGCGTGATTATAAAAAATTACTAAAAATGACTTTTTTTGCTCACATACATGATAATAATTCCAGGCACATATGTAAATACTGTATGTCTGGCTTTCTTATGCATTCACTGACATGTATACTATGTTCAGTTATGATGACACTTTCTTACAGCTATAAGTATTTGGGTCTTGCTCCAATTGACACACGTGCACACACCTTTGGCATGCATCGACATGTATAACAACCATCCCAAAACTTACTAGAGGCCTATCTGGTTGTTGACCTCCAAAATCCAAGGCCTCAAATCGTCATCCAACATAATGTCAAATCCGTAAACCTCATGCACCGCTGTCCTGGACTTTACAGAAGATTTCAATATCATGTTCGTGGTTTTCTCACCGCTGGAAGAAAATTTTGTGTAATTAAAATTACGATGTACAAAAAAAATTGTGATAGAGTGTTCATGAAATCTGACCCTCGCGCAATCGTTGGGAACCGTTATTTATTTTCATCTTTCTTTTTTTTTCCTTTTTTTTTTGGGGGGGGGGGGCAAACGGAAAAATATTTTTTGCGGTGTTGATTGGACAAAGAAAAAAACCAAAATTTGCCTAATATTTGGATAACTCGTATGTACTTTTTATAACGTTTTGTCTTTCAATTTAAATATTAATGAGTTATCTTGTACCTCATTACGTTTCCAACGGATAACTGTTTTCCAATACTAAATCGTTCACCTTATATGTTTCAATTTACATATATAAACAACATTTAGACCATCGGTAATTTTTCCCAATTCCGAAGCCTAGACATTCAACAAAATCGCTTTCGTAGGCGCTTTCGTGTGCTCATGCATACATATACCAATACAATAACATACAAAAGTATAAACCTTTATGACCATATCACATAAATGTTACTTACAGAGGCATTTTGCATTTAACGTTGTACAATGCTCATGTTCTACAATCACTAACATTCCCATACCTTATTATGGTCTTTCGCACGACATCCTTAATGTTCTCCCACACCTCTCGCGGGTTTCCACCCTTTTCCTGTATATGCTCCCAAAGAGGCTCTAACGACCTTATGATATAAACAAATAAAAAGCGTGCGTCTTATTTCCACTTCTCATTAACAATGCCATGATTCTACATTAAATGCAATTCATCAATTCTCAAAACTCATTTATTTTTTTAATAATTACAAGTACAGTGAAAGATCAAAACAGGCCTAAATCTGTAGAACTGAAGAATATTTAGGATTATTTAACCGAAGATATAATTCTTTGTGCAAATATCTAAGAGAGGAAAGAAAAGTACCTTCTTGATCTGCATCTGTACCTGTCATAAATGTGTTTTGACCAGATTATGACATACATGTAAGAAGTCGGCATCCACAACAGATGATCCGGGGACTAACTAGTTCCTGGATCAAATATGGCCGACCCCACTTGAAAGCAATTCTTCAAACCCCCTAACTGTCTCCCCGCCTACATCACACGCGCCATCCCTGGCAATAAAATCTTGGAGCCGTTTAGGATGGCGCGTGCGGTAGGCGGGAGACTTTTAGGGAATTGTGCAACATTGTTTTCAAGTGGGGTAGGCCATATTTGATTTGTGGACAAGTTAGTTCAAGGATCATCTGTTGTGAATGCGACCTAAGATTGCACACAGGTCACATACCATAAAAATCCTCCACGTAAAGTTTTGTATGTGATAAAGGAATCGTGGTGCTTATTTATCGCTCGATTGGTCAAGTGCACGAATTTGTTGTTCAAACTGTCCACGTCGTTCGAGTATCTGGAACACAATCAGATTTATGATTAAGGGGTGTTAATTATGTTATTACACAGGAATGTAACCAGCAAGGGTGTCTTTGTCAGAAAAAAAACAACGCTTTTTATCAGTTTTGGTTCTGGGCGAGTGGGCTTTTAACTGTTAATTCCAAGCCCTCCAGACCCCCCGGCTCGTTTTAACAATATCCTTTAAAATTCTGTGTAATTTAAGTATTCAACAGCTTAGTACAGAAACGGGTCGTTATCCTAATGGAATTTCCCTCTAGGGTCCTATAGGGTGTCCTGTAGGAAATTGGTCCATAATCATATAGGACCTATGCCTTAGTTTAGTTAGATATGTTTTCTATAGGCCTATCGGGTCACATAGAGTCCTATAGGACTTCCTACAGGAAATGTTTGTAATGGTACCCATTCCTGTGGAATAAAGATTCTCATTACCATGTTATCAATTTGCAAGGAGGTGAACTCTCATACTCAAGTTCCCATTTGTTTGTTAGTAGACGCCCACTATCAGGTAAATGGGCCTAAATCCTGTTTGTATCGTTTAGTTAAGCCCCCTTTACACTGAAAGGTACCCTTTCTGCGTCCCGTAGTACGGCCCCGTTTGAGAGTAAAAATTTAATACTTTACGTGCCGACAACTGGCCGATCATTGAGCATTTATTCTGCAACCAAAACGATGCTTGTGCCTCCTTTCTACGACCACAGTGATGCCAGTTTCATAGTCGCACTACGGACGCAGAAAGGGCGCCATCCAGTGTAAAGGGGGGTTTACCCTAACATATTAATAAGTATGGACGCCATGTCCTGTGCATAACAATTATTACGTCACGTTCAACATCATTTATATACAGTTTAAACTTCGAAGTACATGGAAATGACTAAGCAAATGTGTGTGTGTGTGTGTGTGTGTGATATCGGTCATATTGCATACCTGACAGTTGCCAATTTGACTAAACCTTTGTCCAATATGTAAAATCGAAGAGGGTCTAAACAAGCTATGAACACGAAAAGCCTCAGGTCGTTTTTCTTGCCATCCAGCAGATAAGGTCTATCGATGTATCTGGAACAGAACAGTGAGCAGAGAAAGATAAACATTCTGGTCCAATCTGCAAAAATCCATCATTTTGTTCAGTATATTTCATGACCCATTGTTTGTTTTGTATTTATATTTTCTACTCATGTGTAATACATATATGTAATAAAGGTGTACAGTAGGTTTATTCCTTTCTACACATACCTCTGGACAACCGTTGGTGGACTCGGGGATACGTCCAATTGCTCCCACTGATGAACCACTTCAACATTTCTTCCACAACAAGAGAATGCCTACATTTAAATAAAAACACACCGTAAATATTGTTATGAATGTATTTCAATAAAAAAACGTGTATGAAACAATAAACATAGATATTAGTACATAAACTTTGCTTTGGGCCACTTTAAAATTTGCAGATCATCTGCAAAGCGCAATTGTTACATGTTGAATGTAAGTCCAACATATATTAGCGCAACGACATTGTTTGTGAGTATGCTTGCGTGCGTTATTATTTATTCTCCAGCTGAGGCCAAGTGGGCGTCACTTCTGTGCTAATAATTATATGCTCGGTGCTCGGTGTACAGATTGTGTCCAGAGCAAGCCAGAGAAATATATGTAAAAATGTCGTCGTGGTAGAGGGTTATATTTACATGCAGGCCAGTAGCCAGCAATTTCAAAAGGATGGACTCTTTTTGTGAAAAAGAGGACATTTTACCATGAAACCTCCGTGCACTGGTACCTAGATAACATTTTGCCCAGAGGGGAACTTTCCCCAGCAAAATGTGTGTACTTTCGAACCTGAAACCCCCCCTGGCTACGAACCTGACATGTATGTACATTGTATGTCAGTGCGTTCTTATACTTCACCGGTTTGACAATCCACTTTGGTTCTTCACTGCTCTTGTTCCAAGCGGCTTTCAATTGCGCCTTCTCAAAGGGCAAAATAAACGTCTCGGGTGTGATATTGAATTCTTTGTCGCCGTGTGTTTCCCTCAGACGCCTAATGTTCAAAGCTAAAAAGTCTTTTCGATAATATTGTCCTCTGTTTGGTATCACGCCGCACTACAAAGCCGAAATGAATAACTTTAAATTAAGCGATCAAAAATGTTGTTTTGCACCATTATACTAGTGATTACTTTTTGTTTTCTTGTACATATCTTAACTTTCAGAAAGACTGTATCTTTCAGAGGTTATCAAATAATATTATATTTAATTCTTATCTATAATACCCAGAATATTCGCACACTGCATAGAAATAATGCTTAGTCTAAACAAGGAAAGTCACTATAACCTTTTGGTGTGGCCTTAGATTCTTCATTATGCTGATTGTCTCCGTTAAGAGGAACATTTGTGCGTGGTGCCCCAGCCATTCATTTGAATCTAATAAAAAGTTACAATGATATTGAATTTGAATTATGAATTATGAATTATGCCAAAAAACTACAAAATTCTCAATGAGCGTACTTAAAAAAAAGATAGAGTTAATTCATATTGTTTATTCTTGTTTACTAGTCTAAAGTATAGAGAGAGATAAAGTAATAAAAAGCAAAATAAATATATGTATAAAATTATTCAAATAAAATTCCCTTAATCTGAAAGTAAAGTTTTTTTTTCTGATGTGAAAAGTTCTTTTCTATATTAGAACATCTGGATGATGACTTAATGTTTTACCCATTTGTCTCTATAATTTTTATGATATTAACTGAGCAGTAAAATGAGTAGTGAAACGTGTCCCTCTACCCATCAGTGTTTACTACTTAAGAAGCATGGCGATGGCCCCAAAAAAATTCTACATAGGCTATGATTTAGCGAATTATATGCACGTATATCAGTTCTCCTGAAATGTACTTATTTTTTTCTGATATTCGAAATATTGACGCTGTGTTTTAACTAGTCAGAGAGAGAATTCACCGTAAGTATTTTCAAACCACGACCGTTCCAAGCATTCCTTCACAAGCATGTTTGTGCCGCCTGTGTCTAGCGAATACCATTTCAGATACTTCGCAATTTTCTCATGCGGTGGCTCCACTGAAAAAAAGATTTGTGGCAATATATATTGCAATATAATCATCAGCTAATATATATTTTCTTCTACTCAACAAGGCCAAATTTAAGATGTACAGATGTAGTACTACAACAGACTAATTTTTCTATGCATAATTTCGTCTGAAATGAAACTGTATACATTTAAAGGTTCTATAACGAACAAATCCCTGAAATCCTTATGGTTCCTCGGGTATTCATCATGGATCTTGATACACAATACTACTTGTACATTAATTTACAAATAAAGGCTTTCTATTGAAAAAAGAAGGTAAAAAAACACTGTTTATACATCTGAAAAAAATACACACACATCCCTTCTATGATCGAATGTCCTGACAACATCAGGCATATTAGAATATCGCCCACCTTGCTGTCCTATGGCCACGAAGTTGATCGTGGGTGGAACTTTGGGGAACAGACTGGGCGTCAGAAGAGGGTGCATGGTGTAGGAGCTTAATGCTTCTGATACGTTTGGTTTTCCGTCAAAGGAACAATATTCATATATTCTCGGTTTCTTCTGGTCTACCTTCCCTAGAAAATGAAATAAAGCAATGATACAAGTATACTGAACAAGTTTTCTGTCAAAGGTTCGGCATACAATACAAGTTTGCATCTACTCATCGCTTCCCTAATTGGTGTTAACAAACATGCGTATCGACACTTAATACTTTTACTCTTAAAAGATACTTAAGTTATCAGGTATGTAACCGTACAAATTGAGCAGATGCATAGTTTATCCCACTGTGTACGTCTACTTCAATGACCCGCATGACACAGCCCTATACCTAGATAATATACTAGGGATATTCCACAAAAAGTAACACTGAATCACGACATTGTCGCTCATACATCGGATTCTGACTTGCTCCATCGTTCTTTGCTGTTTTGTATACTGTAATACACACCAATCATGTGGAAGAAATCTATAGTTATTTTAATATTTTATATAATTAAACCTAATTATTATTCCTTTTTTCAATTTACATAAAACATGTGCACCGACGTGTACTGGTGTCACCCAGAGAGTTATTTTGTGTGGTATATTCATGTATATGCACCCCCCCCCCCCCAAGCAACTCGGTACTTTTACCTGCACGGTCATGGTCATTTTTATCATAATTAGACCAGCGGTCATTAATTGTTACGAATTTAGTATTTATCACTCCATCATTTAAGAATGATGCAAAAAAATACAGTCTAAGCTATTAAATGCAAATATCAGTAGATGGCTATGATTTAAAGTCGATAATTGGAGTTTAACAACTTACATGTTGACTCTTTGTGCAGCTAAGCGTTGCTAAGCGTTTCAAAATGCGGCTTCATACTTCTTGTACAACCGCAAACGCAATGCACATATGTAAGAGATTGACTAAGACTTTGGTTTAATTGTCCGGTTTGTTTAACTTGTAAGACTAGAGCCAATTAACACTGGCATCAAGGCAAAAATAAAAGATAAACCACCCTTACCTTTAGAAAGGACGTCGGAAACAGCCAGCGTCATCACGAAATACGAAAGGACGGCAAGGTGCTTCATATGAATTAGTAGACACATCTTAGAGTTTCTTACTCCGCCGACAGTGGACTTAGCCAGTACACCTGTATGTTAGAATAAGTCTTTACTATGTTCACTGCCCTAGACTATTTTATCCGCTCATCTTTACTAGACTCTATGTAAATTAAAGCATAATCAACGTTATCATAGCACCCGCCTCCTTCCTTAACAGACTCGCACGTTTATATTTTGGCTATACTACTCAAGAAATGTTGAAGAGATAAAGACAGAACTTGATAAACCAATATCAGTTGCAGATCAGTTGATTCAAAGGTGAAATTTGTGATGTTCAGAAAGTTTGTGAAAAGTGTTAATTTAGCCGCTTGTAATCGCGATATCTAAAATGCATAATATTCACGATTCTGTTATACTCATGATCACCCACCCCCTCAATCTGCAGTTCTAGTTGTCATGATGTGAAATATAAAACATTCAATGTTCTAGCTTTACCTTTTCTTATTTAATAATTGATGTGGAATATCTTTTTTTATTTTATTACTATGTATACATATGTAATGGCACCGCTAAAACATGCTGCTAAGTCACTGTTGTATTAAATCCACTCGTTTTTACAAACTTGTCTCTATTCAGTGTTTAATTTTGTTTCACAGGAATAATCGCACTGAGATTTCACAGAGCCGAATGTTAGTGACAATGTCTTATCATACTGATGATATATCCACTAACTACAGAAGGAAAACACGGAGGCATGTAATTTAAAAGCCTGATAAAATATTTATATAAAAATTTGTGAAGCCGAATGCAACTTCGTACTACTGCAAACGTCTGGTCATAATCTTTGTCGTTCAAGCAAATTAACTTTCAGATGCCAATTTTGATTAACAACGCTTGCTTTTAATCAGGTCGATAAGTATAGTAATTAGTATGCAAATGGGTTAAATTGTTTCTTATCTGGTGGAAGTATAAGTATAACAAAGCGTAAGGCAGATTGAGACATTGAATTCAGTTCAAATAAGCGTGACCAACAGAGGGAGCTGTATCGTCAACAACAAAGATGACAATAGATGTCGCTGCAGAATAAAAAGGACCAAGTTGTTTTTCAAGCTAAGAAAGAAACGTGGAGATTGCCCAACCACTGAACATTTAATATCTTCGTTACTAAAGACAGTATAGTACAGAAGACTAATGGAAATTAATTTGATTTGTATGTACAGTGTACGAGCAAAAGCTGCAGATATTTAATTGATTTTTGTACACTGACAAAACCGCAACTCGGAGCATCATCTGGGTGATCCTATTTCACTCCTTTTCACCCATTATTTTGAATAGTTTTATATAAATATTATTAAAATTCACAATTCATTATGCGTAATAATCATATAAGTAAGCCACTTTAGGTCAAACCCGTGGTTTGTCTTTCAAATTAACATCTTTTTACATGTGTTTAACAGTTTTTCTCGTCAGCACCGTCCCAACAATGTCTGATACCATCACAGACGTCACGCAGCGGAATACATTTGTCTTGCCTCGCGCAAGGCACCCTCCCGGCCAAACAGCTTCCATCCGCACATTTCTGATCCTTCCGGATGCAAGTCTCGGTGTCGTTACAGAACCGCATCTCCCAGGCGAGGCTCCGACAGTCCTCGGGCCTGCAGCCTTCCTCGTCGTCCCCGGCCCTGCAGTCAGGGTTGCCGTTACACCGGAAAGCCGTGTTAATACATTTGCTGGATAGTTTACATGCGAAGTAGTCTTCAGCGCACGTGCCGTCCGAGCACTTGGTCTCTTTGTCCTCGCAAGTCAGTGTGGAGTTACAGAAGCGGGCGCCAACTTGACAGTCTTCCGGTGAACACCCCTTTTCGTCTGCATTGCCATGCCTGAGAAAGAAAAGCGCACTGATTATAACTTTTATGTATTCGAACATGCATGTGTATAATGTACAGTCGGATGTGCAAAGCCTTGGCAGTCCCTGGGTATGATAGTTCTTGTAGCATATTGCTTTTGAGATGTGAAGAATTCGGAAGCTACCTGCTCGAATACGTTCCTGTGTAAAGAATGTCCTCCTGCATGTGTTAGTACAGTAAATGACAAATGATTGAAACACACACACACCGACAGTGACCAAGATATGACATTCTTTCCCAACATACTGTATATGACAATTGTTGTACAACACAAACTAATACAACACAAACTAATACAACACAAACTAATATAACATTATTAGGTAAGGAAAGTGTGAAGGGCGTGGAGTTTTAATGAATCTCCAAATTATTGGTATAACGCGTGAAAGTAAGAAATACAAGCAGTACACATACATTGTTAAAATGATTAGGATTATAGTAGGGTTATATAATAAAAGCAGCCTTGTTTGGCCAAATCTCGAACCAGTATTCTTCGTTGCCTTTTTTCTTGTTGTGAATGGTAGGGGCCTACCATGAAAGTTTGTAGTACACTGGGATGAAGGAGACAAAAGTAGGATGCGCATATCCATTGAGAAATACGAGGAAACTGGAGAGAGAATGATATATCACTACCTCCTGTCTAAAAGTAATGAATGTTTTAAAAATGAATCATTAAAGAAAATGAGATCCAATTACTCACATTTTAACTTAAAAGTACTGGTAGTATGGAGTGGCCTTTAGATGATTTAAAATGGATAATTTTGACAAAGTAAACTCCGAATCGTTTATGAAATTTAAAAGTTTGGAAAGGAAAATGTATAAAGTAATCGCACTGCCCTTCATTTAGAATTTATTAAATGAGAATAATTTCGTCTTTATATATACGTGTATATACCTTCTTGACCGTCCACAGTCCGGTTTCCCATCGCACCGTTTATAATTGGGGATGCATTTCTTTCCACTGGGACAAGCAAACCAGGAAGCTGCGCACGTCTTGTCTGCGCACTGCCTGACGTTGCTCACGCACTTTCGACTTTTCTGGCTTGCGCAGTACCGGGTGTGTATATTGCAGTCCCGCGGCCCACAGTTCGTCTCATCCGACTTATCTTGACAGTCAATTCGTCCATTGCACCAGTAAGAACTCTCTGTATAAAAACAGATAAAATAACGTGAAACTCTAACACTGTTATGTACCGGTATCTATATATGTACAATATTCCATATATATGTACAGTATTCCCTGTTGCGTATACAGTTACTATAAGAAAGCGTAGGCCTACGCTTGCAGCTGACTGTAAACAGACTACATGTATTACGCTGTTACATACATGTACATATATGCACCTATGAAGAGCAGAACCTATGACAACAAATTCCTATAATATGATATTTATCTGTGTCCAAGGAGTTATAACAAACTCCTTGTCTGTGTCTGTGTACGCGAATTTATCTAGAAAAAAGGTTACTTTTCATAATTTCGAACTTAAAAAAAAAAAACAATTTACAAACTATTGATCTTACTGAAATGAACTTAATTTTTTTCTTTACTTTTATTTATTTTTATTTATTTATTTATTTATTTATTTATTTATTCGTTAAATATACGTATATACGACAATGTAACGTGCACAGATACTTACTAGAGGAGCATTTTCCCGTAGGAGCACAGAAGTATCTATCGTCCCCACAGTCTGCTGCCGTACAGTTCAACTCATCAGAGCCGTTGTCGCAGTCTCTCCAGCCGTCACAGCGCCGGCTCCTGAGAATGCATTTATCTTCTCCTGCGCATGGCCATTTGTCGTCCTCACACGTTCCGTCGTCGCACTTCCGGTCCTTCATCCGGCAGGTGTTTGAAGACGGGCAGTGTCTTAAGTCCGGGAACTGGCAGTCCTCCGGAGCGCAATCCAGCTCATCCGACCCGTCAGCACAATTACTATGGCCGTTGCATCTTTTGTAGGAAGGCAGGCAGTAATCCTCCGTTTTACATGGGAACCTACTAACATCTGCGCATGTACCATCCGAGCATTTTCTTCGTCCATCGCTGCATGTTTCAGTTGAGTTACAGTACCGGGCAAATCCGCGGCAGTCATTCGGTCCGCAGCCTATTTCGTCGGTCCCAGTGGGGCAGTCTTTGTCTCCATCACACACTCTCATTGGTGGAAGACATTTCTTGGTGGCATGGCAGTACTGTCTTTCTCCCAAGTCACATTCGCTGGGGTCACACCCTTTTTCGTCGGCCAAGTCGAAGCAATCAGGCCACCCATTGCAGCGAGATTTCGGATCGTAACAAATCTTCCCGTTGGTGCATGAAAGGCGACCCCCGGGGCAGGAACCATCGGAGCACCTCCTGACTAGGAATCGGCATTCTCTTGTCTCGTTACAATATCCTAGTCTTGACAAGCGCGACCCGTCACATTCAGAAATATCACATTCCGTCTCGTCTGAATTGTCTTCGCAGTCCTTCACACCGTTACATCGCCTCCACTTCGGAATGCACTTGGCGCTGTTCTTACAGGGCAACCTGATTACAAACATAATAATAATAATAATAATAATAATAATAAACACTTACAATAACAACAATAAATACAACGACAACAATAATAATAATAATAAAATGAATTCACACTGCTGTAAAGATACCGTCATATGTGAATGATCACTTTTTAGCCGATTGTATCTCACATGTATATATACTATATAAACGGCTTTTATACTTGCTAGATCTTTTACATGAATGCTAAAATGCACACGCGGTATACCAATGTTGTTTTTAATTCTATTTGTTTCAGGAATGAAACTTTTCAATGAAACAGTGCAAGACGTTTAGAAATAGGCTTTTACTGAACAATCACGCTTGTTTTTCCTTGGCTGGTAAATTTTAAGTAATTAAAGGTAATGCCGACTCGATACATTCCTTTAAAATGTACTTAAATTCTGAATATTTATCAAATCTAGGCGTGCTTCGAATATGTGTGTGATACATTGTAATACACTGTCACCTGAGCGATATACACCTCGAGTGTCAGGATGAAGTGCGTTTTTAGGTACTTTTCGAGAGAAAGTACTTGTATTTCACAAAAATATCCTTATAACGTATCTCACCACCGTCACACAACATCCGTAGGTGTGTACATGTATGCATATATGTATGTATGTATGTATGTATGTATGTAGGCCTATGTATGTATGTACATATATATGTATGTGTATATGTACTCACCATTCATCCGCACATTTACCATCAGAGCACTGTGTCTCCATCCGCACGCAGCTCTCGGACGAGTTGCAGTAGTGCGTAAACCCATTGCATCCCTCCTGACCACAGCCGACCTCGTCGGAGTTATCCGGACAATCCTGAACGCTATCGCACCGGTTGTTGCTGGAGTCAATACAGGCACCATCATCACACTCCCAGCCCCATCTGCACTCACCTGTGTGAAGATATATTGATACTCATGTACAATCATGTTATTCCAATCGACACAATCTTCCTTTTTTTTTTCAAAAGACAGTGCATGTTAATATAGGATTTGAGAAAGAAAAACAGTCATATTAAGAAGGAACCCATAAACTGTGTTATTTTAAGTGAAAATAACGATGAAAATGTTATTAGGACTTGCATGTCGTAAGACCCTACACTTATTCTTCATTAATGCAAAGCAGAAAAAAGGAGGAAAATGGGAGAGGAAATAAAGCAATTTAATATACAAACACAGGATTTTTATTTTCTTTATATTTCAATTTTACTTTTTTCTATTGTTGAGAAAATAAGAGAGTATTTTGATTAGAATCCTGTGAAATCATACCAGTATGCAGAAAGCGGAAATTGAGGAAGCGTAACATAATGAATGTAGTGGAAAGCTTATTTTCTTTGCTGTAAATGCCTATTTAATTGAAATACTGGTATTTACAGAACTCCTTTCATTTCCCTTTCAATTACATGCCAATTATTAAATATCGGCTTCACGACCGGACATGAAAAAAACTGCCAAGGCAGTTTTAAAAATATCAATAATTTGCCTTTCGATGTATGGTTATGTGGGCATTAAAGCCACATGTTTTTGAATATTTTAGTTTTATGCACATAATGCGCGTTCAGTTGACTGTGACATATAAAAAGACAATCTTGACCGGCGATTAACTTCATGAAATTCCCTTCTCACGAAGAGGTCGACTCCTGCAGTCTTCTCAAGTGGTTGTTTAATGATTCTAATGACATTTACGTAAGCAATTTTGCTGCTTAAAAAGATTTTTGTATCATGTAAAAAAGAAGAATTTTTATTATATAGTAATCAACTTGTGTATTTACCTGCAGCGGTCTTGCACTTAACGTTCTTCAATACTATTATTTGTTTACGTTCATTACAGCAATCCTGTTGATTCTACTACTGTTAAATACATTTAGTTCACGAAAAAAGAAGTGATCTCTTCATCTGTTGTTGAACATAACCTATTATGATATACACAAAAATCGTTTGTACCTTTCAAAATGGATCTTTTGTGTAGAAATCATCACTTACCTTCCTTCGTGCATAATTCGCGGCGTTTCTCTGAGCCTGACATCGGAGTTAAGCAAGAAATTTTAAACCTTCTGATGACTGAGCGAATGTGGCTCTGTTATTGTTTCGATGCTGTTAGAAATATATAGCAATCGAGGGGTTGATGAGATGATATGATAAAGGAGACCCAGGAATGGATGTAGCTAAACGGTGATTACATCGATTTATGATGTCAGATAGTATAGGCAGTAGCAAAAAAAGAGAGAGAGAGAGAAAGGATTTTCTGCTTTTTGTTAACCGGTATTTGTAAAATACTTGAAGAAATAGATAAGATGAGTATTATTAAAAAGAACTTTTCAGGAACTGCAAAGTTAAAGATCGGATGTGCAGTATATCTGTCTATCTATTGTTCAAGAGCGGTGTTATTTGACTTAGACTATACCTAGATCGATCTAACAGGATCGGTCCATCTCCAAGGGGTTTCTCACTAAATTGCCTTCAGCTTAAGCGGCTTGTCTGGCACGCCTACTAAGGCTGCAAAACGATAATTTGAATTAAAATTACCCCCTAGTTGCAATTAAGAACACAAGCAAGAGCTTATATCGCGTTACGTATTAAAGCACGTACCTAAGAGCCCAGGCACGTACACACACAGCCATACCAAAATCACAGTTCCAAACACGTGGGCCATGTCCCTGTGTACCTGATTCGGGTGCAGCAAGCATCTGGCGATAAACGTACCGGAGTCATCTTATTAGGGGTTGTTTTTAATCTAAAATTGGATTACCTCGCGTAACCAAACGACTGGATCGATTTTTTACCAGTAATTCACTTCCGATTTAATTGACGAATCCAGGATTTTGCTGAGGGAGGGGGGGGGTCACACAAATTGAAGACGAGGTAATTTTACTATACATACATACATGTATATAAGTATATGTATCGCACGAGGATGGGAAAATGGATTGGATTTGTCACAATCCGTTCATGAGGAAAGGGAAAGGAGGGGGGTTAACCAGAATATAAGGGAGGGGTAAAACCCCACTGTGCCCCCCTGCCCCCGTCCCTGGATTCGGCTTTTATAAGTTTAGTTTAAAACACATGCAACTGGGACTGAACGAGCAAGGGGCAGTCTGTTAAAGGAAATTATATCCGTACGGAATATAAATTCTTGTTGGGTGTAAATATAGTTGGGAATCAAGGTCCAGTTAGGACAGTACATCTTAGGGAAGGCATCTCCACACAGCTTCACTTTGACAGTTCAAAATACACAGCACAAAAAATTATCTTTTCGAATTTTCAGCGTCCGCGGAATGACGTGGGAACAGTGCCAGTTAATTGTATGATCGTGCTTTAGAGGCTGTTACTCCCAACTCTCCACTCGCTCTTCGTGCTGTTTTATCAATCAATACGCGCTCTGTCACGTATAGCCAGGCGCAATATCTCAAGCCATCGAGCACAGGCTGCATTAAGCCAGTGCACCATTCCACATAAAAGGGGATTTTACCTTAACATTGGAAAAACTCGTTAACAAGGTTTACAGATGTTTTAGCTGCGCTTGCAGTTGTCCTGAATGCTAGTCTCTCCTTCTGCATGGATGCAAACAGAAAACACATGAAATGAGAAAAGGAAAAATACTAACCTGGGCTTAGTTAAAATATAGGAAGAGCGTTCAAACGGTTTGATACGATGTAAACGCCCACATTTAGCAGAAAACTTTTTCCCGTTTCTTTCATGTGAGATACTTATCTTAGTGTTATTGCAATACGAATGAACTCATTTAGAACACAGACTACATTTTTATTGCTTTATTTCTGTCTCTACTTGCACATGGACGACCTAGCGTTAATCGTAAATTTCGCTGCATTGTAAATTTGTGTGTGATATTGATAATGTTAATAAGTAAAAACATTTTCATGAAAATTGGCATGGTTGACAACTAGGGTGTGCACTATAAGCCGACACCTGCGCTTAGTTATTATTTTTATTTTAATTTCTGTTTAGGAGATATTGGTCCTGATAATCTTTAATGCAACAGCATTCTCTCAAACACAGCAATGGTTATTTCCTCAATATCTAGGCAGATAAAGCAAAATCAATGTATCGAACCACCTTAAAACCAAACAAGGTGCGCTCTGAGGTGTCCAGTTTTTTTTTTTTTTTTTTTTTTTTTTTTTTTTTTTCAAATCCAACCCAACCCATAATCACCTGTTCCTATCTACACCCACAAATAGGGACTTGATGTGAAATCAATATAACTTCTCTTGCACTGGAGGTTGATAAAAAGTCTCTCTAATTCTAGTTTCCGCACAATATTTGAGAATGTATGACGTGTTAGTGCGAGTTTAACCTCACCAATGATATTGTGTTTATATGTACGTTTTCAAACACGCACATGCTCGGTCTAACATTTGTTACAACTTTTAGGATGGCAATTTAGTATAGCACAACCAGCGTTTGTATCTCACCATTTGCTTTCCATATGTAAGCCTGTATGTGTTGTTTGACACCCCCCCCCCCCCGAACACATTTAACTGGCTTTCATTTTACGCGTACCTGTAGTCTATTTGGTCAAAACCACTCTATACTTATTGGGATTTATCATTCTTGTCGTGTACTTTCAATTAAGTAATGTCCAAGTGTCAGTGCATAATTTTACAAATAGGTATTTTAGATTGCAATGGCTTTTTCACCTATGAATAATAACTTAATGTTCACTATTAATGATAAATTAAGTGAATCCCACTGAATCTATTAAGACTGGTGATAATTAAAACGACCAATATTTAATTGGTGTACTAATACAAGTATCAGCGTGTGTTTCACAACCTTGCCCAGGTTGATAATTAACACAATCATATCTTATTGATGTAATTTTGTTTCCTGAACGCTCCATATATGCTGCAAAAAACAATGTTCTGGATCAATTGTGGGCACGAGTTTCCGGTTGTGTACGTCATCGCTTAAACATGTAGTTTAACGACTTACAAGTTCCCTCTCCTCACACAGCCTCGATGTGGCGCAAGCAGATGGTTATAAGCACGATTGTTCCCAACGGTTTTGCCAGCGTGTTAATACAAATGTACATTTGAAAGTATTATATCGTGTTGTTGCTTACGACAACGTATCGAATTTCCTTTTGTTGCCTTGCTCAAGCATTCGTGAATGTGTCGGGCATTGTTCTCTTGGTGTTCGTAATTGGAATGGACCTGCTACACTGGGCCAACTTGTACAGCTTGTAGGTATGAACTAACAAGCACAAGGTGATCCACAGAAAAACAAAACCCATAAAAACGTTATTAAATCCCTCAAAGCTTCAGGAAATTTCCTTAAACTTCAGTCGGTAAACGGTCTTTCCCGAAGTTTCAATTATCTTGGCCACTTTGCATTTAAAGTCATAATAACTCTTCGTTTTGGCCAAAAATTGGATTTTCCTGGAGTAAACGGCAATTTTCCCGTACTTACCAATGGCCAACGACCCCATTCCTGCATTCAAAGTTAATCCAGGGTTTTTTTCCTAAACGTACGGTTTTTTGTTAAAATCTCTTAAGAGATTTTAACTGACGGAGCTCTCTCTGACATTGCAAAGTCACTGGTGACCTACTTAAAACCGCGGGAAAAGCAGACAACAACAACACTATATAAGATTCATGAGATATATTCGTCTTTTTGTTAAAAATGCATTTATATCCACAATGTGTGCCATTCTGGGCTTTTCGTTATCCGACGCACTGTACAAAAACTCGCAACTTACGTCTGCGTCTGCACTAATGCGTTTGGCGCCATGTTATTTTGGTCTCGAATGAACGCGAGAATCCGCGTGACACCATTACGTCATTAGCAACGAATGCACTTGTCGAGCGGAAAAAAGGGATCGAAAGCCATATTGACAAGCACAGATTTTAGTTTTCCTACAATAACGGCCGTTTTAGTGGTAAAATACAATAGAATATATTTCCATGCGTTGTTTACAATGTATTTCATGCGGATTTTTGAATCTCAAAGGAAGAGTTATTATTGCTTTAAGTTATGTTCTTTCCAAAACATGCTTCAAATGGCCTTGGCGGCGTGGAAGGCACAATTGCATACGTCTCGCAAAATTGTCAATTAATCGAACACGTTCTTCTATAGGGATTTCCTTAATTTTTGCTGTGATCGCTGCCTTCAGTTCATCAATCGTTTGAGTGTTGTTCTGGAACACACTATCCTGGAGATACCCCCACGTTATTTTTTAGCGGGGGGGGGGGGGGGGGTCATTCTACATGTATATGCTAGTGTGCTCTCTCTTTTAACCAATCGGCAAGTGATGGCTTTTGTGTAACACGCTAATCACCTTGATTCACTTAATTGCTACCACTTTTCCAAATTAATGCCTTAGTCAACTTGCATCATCACTATCCATCTCCAACGTAACTCTGTGCTTTTGATTGATGTGTTAATGAGGCTATAGATACTCGCCGTTTTTATGTCACAGCCGCTCTACGCTCAGTGTTACGTACTTTCAAACTGCAGTGCTAATGAGGCTATAGATACTCGCCGTTTTTATGTCACAGCCTCTCTACTATGCTCAGTGCTAAGTAATTTGACACTGTAAAGCTGATGCTATAATCAAATTCAAAATACAGAAGGACCACGAGATAACGCCCCCCTGCTATTGGGCAACTGTAGCCCAATGNTTTATGTACTTGCTTTTTTTCTATTGCAATAAAAAAAAAATAATAATAATAATAATAATGATAATAATAATCATAATAAACACTTACAATAACAACAACAAATACAATAACAACAATAATAATAATAATAAAATGAATTCACACTGCTGTAAATATACCTTCATATGTGCAAGATCACTTTTTAGCCGATTGTATCTCACATGTACATGTATATAAGCTATATAAACGGCTTTTATACTTGCGAGATCTTTTACATGAATGTTAAAATGCACACGCGGCATACCAATGTTGTTTTTAATTCTATTCGTTTCAGGAATGAAACTTTTCAATGAAACAGTGCAAGACGTTTAGAAATAGGCTTTTACTGAACAATAACGCTTGTTTTTCCTTGGCTGGTAAATTTTAAGTCATTAAAGGTTATGC